TTGCACATGAGGTAAAAAAATTGCTGCCATTTGCATCAACCTACCATTGTGAACAAGGCTTTTTCACTCTAATGAACATAAAAACGAAAAACAGAAATCGAAAACGAGCTGTATTCAAATTGCTCTTACATCAAAAAGTCCCAATTTTAAAGTAATTATATCAAACATGAAGCAACATCATGTTTCCAAAACCTGAAGGGGGAAAGTTTTCAATTAATTTTTGTTTGTTCCAATTTAAGAATTTTATTTTGTTTGTCTATTACTATTTATTATGTAACTTTTTTTATAAATATGTAAATGCAAATTAATTCAATAAATAATGTTTATTTAAAATTTACATTGATTGTTTTCTATTCAGAATGGGGGGGGTAATATCGACTTACACAATAATATTTTGGGGTAAGGGTTAAAAAAGTTCCCCGGCCGCTGTTTTATAGTAAACAATGAAAAAGGATCATTATGTTTATTGATTCTAAATCCAACTTTGGACATTGTCCCCGTCCCCCTTAGCGAAATTCAATTAGGATGAAGAAGAACATTCGCTTTAATGTTTATGTTTCATATTAATTCTACTCCATCTCTCCCTTCATCAGATGCAGGCAGAGAGATAGCAGAAGATACTTTCCGGTGAGATTGTAATGATGTGAGAGGGCGGCCGTCCTCCACTTGATCCAACGGTTTAGGGGCGGATTTAAAGCCATCTCTAAGCCAGCAATCCCCGTAATTTGCCGTCATTCCACTTAAGAGAAAATTAGCCGGCATTGCCAAGCGAGTAGTCTACATAAACACATCCATTTTGCGTTATTAAATCCCATAGAACATTGAGATTTTCAATAAAAAAAATAAGTATTATTTGTGCCTTCACGAAAATATTTAATTAGCCAATAGTTGATCTATTTGCATCACGAAAATAAAGCAGTTTACTTTAAACTGCATTGAATTTATTTTAAACTTGAGATAATTTAAATTTGTTGGGCATAAATTTCTTAAGGTTCCAAATCGAGATTAAATTAACTAGTTAGCATCTAAGCGCTCTCGATCTAATTTTGTTTTGTAAGTATGAAAATGTGTGTATTCAGATATATAATAAAAAGGATGAAAGGACAAATGTCGACGATATGTAAATGAAAACGGAATTAGCGAACGTACGATGTTTGCTATAAAGAGAAGAGAAGCAACGTATAGAGATAGACTTAATCCAGCACAGTTTGATGATAATAGTAATAAGACCTGGATGCATGGGAATTGTGCTATTAAGAGTATAGATGAAGACCCTGGTCTCCGACGAGAGCAAATTCAGTATAAATACGTAATAAATACTCGTAGGTTTATATTGAATTGTCTCCAATCATTCGTGCAGTCGCTAGATTCAAAACGCATTAGCCTTCGACGCCGAAGTTGTACCCAGTTACTTTTAAAATATTTATTTTCCTAGTTTTCAACGGAAATTGCTGACTGCCGTCGGATAATTTAATTTTCTACAATCAATTCAGGATCTCATCTTTTGGAATACCAAAATAAAAACATATTCTGCCAATTTTACAAGATTGTAACGAAATTAACTTTCCTTAAAAAACGAAAATTATTGGATAATAATAAAATTAAATTCGCAAAGTATCACAGTTTACACAGTTTACATACACATTTTAAATATTTTAGTTGTATTTAGTAGAAGTATTTCTACTTATTTGACTCAATACTGGATTGATGACCTCAACATCGATCATTAAATACTGATATTAAAATACGTAGTTTTCTATAAAAAAATTAATCAAAAACTCATTGGCAACAACGAAAATCGTATCCTTTATTTTTTTGTTAGAAATCTACTACCACGTTGTCTGATATTCAATTGGTTATGCCACCCTTCGCTAGATGGAGCAAGAATTATCCCTTCACTGAAAATCACCAATATCAAAGTAATCAAGAAATCTGCAGAATTAAATCTGAACGTCACATAAAATTTATGGACGATCATAACTTAATCTCCCATCAGCTTCATAGCCTTAGACGCGACATTTTTTCTACCTACCAACCTTAATATTGTGATTTATTCATTTGAGGCAATTTGCATTTATATTACAAAAAAGCTTTTGAGGCCTAAAAGGGAGAGATCTTTTTTTTCCAATATAGCGTTTTCGCCTTTTTTTTCCATTCTCATCAAAATTTAATTATTTTTGTGCGAGAGTGTCATATTATGTTGTCTCGAACAATGTCAATTGATCACGGGAAATCTATCAATGGAACCGGAAGAGAAGAGAGAAATTAAAATGAATACTCCCACATACACAGATCTAATAGGATAATCTCAGCGAAAATCGATATGAAAATGAATACTCGCACGTGCACAGATCTAATAGGATAATCTGAGCGAAAATCGATGTGCCCGAGTTTAAATTGGTTTTTGGAGTGAATTGATTGAATTCATTCATACACAGACGAAACAAACAATGTTATTAGATTAGTTGGGCCACCATTGCAGTTAATATCTATTGTTTTATTATACATATTTGTAAATTATTGGTCAGTAAACAGAATAGTGAATACCATGTCTAAGACCTGGAATGTAAAAGATACTGCTCGACTGCCTTTTTAGACATATCGCAAGCATTTGATAAAGTTTGGCATCCCGGACTACTATACAAAATAAAGAAGAAACTACCATATAATTATTTTAAAATAATAAAATCATACATCAATAATAGAATGTTTCAGGTAAAAATAGAAAACGTATACACCAATTTAGAATAGAATCAAGGCTGCCGCAGGGAATTGTTTTAGGACCACTACTTTATCTTATATATACGGCAGATATTCCAAAAACTAGCAATACTACGAATGCAATATTCGCTGATGATACAGCAATCTTGGCAACAGATGAGAATCCAGCAGTACAATTTACAGGTGAATATCTAGGCATGCATCTAGATAGAAGATTTATCTGGAAAGATCACATTCATGTTAAGAGGGAGCAATTAGAAATAAAGTTTATAAAACTCTACTGATTTCTTGGGAAAAGGTCGGAATTATCAGTGGAAAGTAAATTACTTATATACAAAGTAATACTGAAACCAGTATGGAAGTAAATTATTATTAGGCTCCATGGTTCGTCACATATAAACAAATATACGAAGATCTTCATATAGATATGGTCGAGTATACAATACCAACATTTAGTTTTAGATACCAAGATACTAATATTCTGGCTACTGGTCTACAGTGAAACCACAAATAGGCTAGAGCGTTGAAAACAACTAGATTTAGTATATAGATTTAAGTAATTATTAACTATCCACCAGGAAATCTTATCCGTTTAATGTCATCTGCGATCTTAAATTTACTCAATGTTCACATTGATGAACAAATTGTAAATAAAAATATTACGACATAAAAAAAAAATATTAGTCATACACTTTTAACTCATCAATCAAGTATTAATTATAATATGGTATATCCAATTCATTTTAGTGCTGCTCATAAGGATTACATTTTAAGGTCCAATACTATAAAACTGTATATTATATTGATATGGAAATATTTTCAAGTGTGATAAACAAACTTTTAAGCTATTTTAATATTTATAACTTCTATATTTATTGATCTTTGTCCTGTTATTGTATTGTCGGTTCATCTAATTATACATAATATATAATAGTTTTACACATTTTGCTTGTATAAAACGAATTTGAAATATTGTTGCTGACTTATAGAAGACGATTTTTACCGTATTTAATATATTTAGACTTTACAATATTATCGATAAACCGATTTTAAACTTATACATTTTCGTTGAATGGAAATCTCCGCTTATTTTCCATCTATAGCAATTACATCTACCCGTTTATTTTATTGGATGCCCGTTTCGCCGTTTTCAGCTGGAAATGACGGAAGTGGCAGAACGTTTTCTTTCGATGGAACTCGATGAACAGGCGCGAAATTCCTGCTTCTCTCGTCGATAATTGAATTTATTTGCTTAAGCGTTCTCGTCTCGACTAACTATATTATAATGTATTTGTCTATAATGTACCCTCTTGAATGACGTCCTAAACTTCATTACCTCTTGTTTCCCAATACCAATCTATTTATCGAGAAATTTTCATATGGAATATGGAACGTAATATTTGAGTGTGAGAAGAAACAGTTGCTATGGTAACATATATAACGGTCGACCCACTAACAATAATTAAATATTACAATAGATATTCAATGAAAACAAGGACTTTATGTTTGAACGAAGAAGTATATTCAATGTCATGGTGACAAATATCAAAAAGTTAAAGTTAAATTGTATATATAGAAACTAAAATGTTACCAGTATACTTAATTTAATTTTCTTTGCTCGGATTTGCATTTGATTTTTATCAAATAGATAATAACATTTGTTTCCTCCATAACCTAAATAAAAAGTTAATTCATGAAATATATATGTCATCAAAATTCAACATTTCTATTCTATTGTGCGTTAGATATAGTGTGCAACTGTAGAATGGAAGGGAAGGTGGTGGTATGCGTGGGGCGGTGGCATCGGTGGCGGCGACGGCGTCGTCGTGTTAGCTGACGGTGGCGTCGCGACGCTCTGTGCGGTTCAGTGTTGACTCGTCATGTTCACGCTGTGCATGTCGCGGGAACCGCACCGCGACTCAGATAATCGCGGTAAGTCATCACATATTATTTCTATTTCTATTCCCTCTCTGGTCAATGCTTGTCACTGCATGAATTACATAACTGAAGCGGAGAGGCGGTAACATGGCTAACAGCGGTCATTGCCTCAAGCTCACATATATTGTCTTAGGTCATAAAACTAGTAGATAGGAGAAAAGCGTGAAATAAAGCATGTAAAGAAATTGTGAGATAAAATGAGAGAACAATATAACTCACCGGTCAATAAACTTTTATTAAAATTCGAGTTTTATAAAGACTAAAGAATTTTTATTATAGTTTTCATAAAATTCGAATTATTTCCTTACTTTTTAATATTAAATCTAAACAAATAATTTTACAGATTTACATTCATATTATAATAATTATAATATTATATAAATAAAAATTGCTAATTTTCAAATCATTAAGAAAAAACCTAGTGATACTAACAAAATGAACTCGAAATGTAAATGATTTAAATTAATATATTTGCATATATCATTGTAGTAATTGGCCCAAAGACAATCTATATCTACTGAAATATGATAGAAACATGAAAAATGTCGTTAACAGTTAAATATATTACATAAGTTAGTAAAATGAAAGAGTGACGACTTTTCTAAAGCCTTTTTATGTATAACCGTTATTGTTTATATTATGTTAGCCCTTATTATTTTATACATGTGTATGTAAATAAGTCATTATGACTTAGTACAAATACTACTTAGGAAGATTCCATAACTAATCACTGTGTAACGACTATTCTTAATAACTATTGTTAATCACCATGTTGTGCACAAATTCAAAAAGGCTAATCGAAAGTTAGGGAAAGTTAGGTACTATCTTCCCTTACTAAATATTGTATTTCCACTATGCTAATTCACTACTACATAACAGGATGTTTATGTAATACTAAGAGTCAGAGTTAAAGTCATAGCTAGTCGCTAGTCCAAGTTAGTTTTACTCATAGAGGAGAGTCCTCCCGAGTCCTAGTTAGACTCATAAAAGCCCTAGTAACAAACCTAGCAACTGGGATCTAGACATTGAAGTTATTAATAATCTTATGGAGAATAATAAAGTGTTTATTATCATAAAAACTCCAACTTCACCTCTAGCATTCCATTCAAATCTCCTCTAGGACTCCACAACGACATAACTACGAGATATTCCACGGACTAACTAATTTAATTTCCTAATTTGTTTCATTGGTAATGATGACATGTACAGATATTGAAAGATGCTTTAAATAGTATTTTTCAATTTAATTTTCGCTAAGTGCTGGATTTAAATAAATTATATTTATTGTTTATGTTCGTGCCGGCGCCTCCGTCGCTCTCTGAACGTTTGCAAACACGTCCGGGGCAGAATTTATTATTCTTCGAGTTTTTTCTTTTCAAACACAATCCAACCACTCGGCACAAAAGACGTTGGCGTGAAAGGAAATGAAAAACAATAACTGAGAAAGACGCGAGGCAAAAGAAATAATAAAATAACTGGAAAATATACAATAATGATTAATGTTAATAACTTTTTAATTACTTAATTTTGTACATTCGCTTTACTAATTAAACGAATGAAACAAAGACGGCGAAGGCAGAGTTGGAATAACAACGTTTTTTATTTGTAAATAAACACATAAAACTCATAAGATACTAATTAATAAAACTTGTAATTTTTATGCTTATTTATATATATACCTCGCATAGTGCGGTTTTGATCAGTGCGGATTCACAAACTGAATCTTCTTCTGGTGTTGTCGTTGTGGAGTCTCAGTTGTAGGAATTTAATAATTCAATTGGTTTAAAACAAGTTTATTATAATAATTGGGGTTCTTTCCAAGACAATGTAGATACTTTTAGAGATTGACAAAGACTAATTACAAATACTTATTGTAGTAACAAAGTTAATTTGTATTAATACGGACGGGGTGGGAGTTTGAGGAGTAAGGCACGTTTTTTAAAAAGACGCTCCGCTTCAGGTCACTGTTCTCCGTGTGATCTGTCGATTCTGCAGTTTTGTTATCAGTTGAAAATACGAAGAAACGCCACTGTCTTCCGTGGGATCTGCCTACTCTGCATATTGATTCTGTTAATACCTATAACTTTAGTGGTTGGATACAACAGAATTTTAATTTAACAAATTAAAAATGAATTCTAAAAAAATAATAGACAAAACTAATATGCAATCAAATCTCTTTTTGTCTATCGGATAGTGCGGTATTACTGTTTACCGTTTAATATATGATGCAAAGTATATTACGTACTCATCAATCAAACGATCGTAAGCTGCTCTTTGCACCCACCAAGAAAATTCATTTAGTCGAGATATGGTTTTAGCTATTATAAAATAATCCATATTGAAACTCAAGGAAAATATGTATAAAAGAATTGTGTAATTTATTTGTAATACTCGTTGCAATACGTAATAGCATTTTGACATTGAAGCATCTGCAAGTGAGTGATGGGTATACAATATCCGACAAGCCAGACAGAGCAATTCACGTTTTAAATGAATATCATCCATTTATTATTCATGTAAAATTATTGATTTTAGATATGAATTCAGTATACACACAAATTATTATAACTATGCAAAAATATATACAGTGGAACCTCGCATAACGAGCAAAATTAATTGTAAGAAAAATGACACGTTAAGCGACGTTTCGCATAACGAGTGACGATGAGAAAAAAATCCAGGATTGCGCGTCTGCTACATCAATTTTTAAAACTTGTGTACACATATTATGTTTCACTATACGAGTATTTTATTATATTATATTTTGGAACGGATTAAACTCGTTAAGCGAGGTTCCAAAAGTACTTAAATATTAGGGTATAAATCGCATCTTTGAAATGGTTAGACTTTGTAAAGTATAATTTATTCTTAATTAGTGGACTATAAACTCTTAGTTGATTATCCATGAGCTCAACACTTAATAAAAACACTGATTTGTGTAATGAACTCCACTAAGACTTCACAACGAGATAACCCAAGGTGTCCAGAGATTTTTATTCCAGAGACACGACAATACGATTTCCTTAAACTTTGCAATAAAAGTTAAAACAAATACAGGTATCCCCCGACTTACGTTCCGTTCCAAAGGGTTGTTCGTAAGTCGAATTTGTTCGTAAGTCGGGAGAATTATAAAAATTTTAAAATATACCTCTCTTATTACACTATATCATAGTTAATAATAGATTAAAATAAACAAAATACTTACTTACAAATACTTTTCAATGTAGACATCACAATAATTTAATTAAAAAACGACAAAACAAACAAATGCAACAAAACAGATAGTACATCTTCCAAAAGTATTATATTTTATTAAAGAAATTATTAAACTATATATCCCTTGTAACAAGTTAGAGCTTTTAGAATTTTGTTCATAAGTTCGGGAGTTCGCAAGGGATAAGTAAATTGAATACAATTGCAGTGACCATTCGCATGACGCAATGATATGAAAGATGACATGTATTACTTCCTAAAATTGAATTTCGTTTGAAAGACATTTTCTTTCTGTTACAGATATACAAAAGAAACAGGTTAAAGCTGGATACCTGCTCCGCTACAAACGTAAGTAAGATTTATTGTACGATATTTGGTGAATTTCTCCTCTCGCAGGTAATCAAAGGTTAATATTTTTGCAATCCGCATTTTCTTTTCTTGTTATTCACATTTATTCTATTTGTCGACGATATACAAGATAAATTACTTCCCTTCCGAAAAACAAAAATTATTCAAGACATATCATATTATCCAGTTCCCGTCTAGGGTTGAGTGATTTATTTACCGAGAAGGCGACGTTCAGGGAAAACAAATAGACTAACGGCTCGAAAATAACAACAACAGCGAAACGAGAAGAAAAAGGTGGAGGTAATACATAAGCGAATGTAATCAGATCAGCTGAAAAACAAAACCCGATGCGGTATTGAAATATTGTCAATATCGCGGCAAGAAATAAAATCCCGCAATTGATTCCGGACAATTTCCCGTGTCCATATTGATTTTCGTTTTTTTTTTTGCGGACACTGCGTAATTTCCTGATTTATTGTTAAGGTTTTTGTTCGATCGTTCCTAACCAAGAGTGGTAATCAAGTTAATATAGTTTGAATTTATCGAATTAAAAGTTTGAGTGTTCTCACGGTGATGAGTTTTCGTAAAAGGTATACGCGTTTTCTTTGTTGCAAAACTTACTCTAGCCAAAATCTCGTTTACCATTGAAGACGCTCGAAGCGGAGACTATAATAAAAGAGAAAGCATTTGATTAAATGGGCGTCGCCCGGAAAAGGGCCTATCTATATTGTGGCGGTGGGGAGATTATCGCTATTCAAGTTAGTTCTAAGTTCCAACCGCAAGTCCAAAGCTTCATCTCAAAAGAGTTATATAAAAATCGTTCCCAACATTCAAAGAAAGTATTTCTCTTAAACTGTTTTAGTAGTATCAGTGAATTAGTAGAAGTAGTATTTGTTTTGTATGAAAGTGTACCATTATTTTGATGTAAATTGACTAATATAACTAATTAGTAATGTTATAATATTTGCGTTCCTATCTCACTTGATTGAGCCATTTAAAGTTAAATGTTTTCTGGTTATAAGTTTTTTTTTTTAATTACTCAATTTATTTATTCCAATTTAAACGTTTATGTATAATCCAGATTTCTTTATTTGGTTTGTTCTTCTATGGTTTGCTTTGCATACAATTTTTAAATAAGTTTTAGTGGCTCTACTTATGTAATTGTGTTTTGTATTTATTTTTATATTACACCAAATGGGCTAAAAATGAAATTCGTTTAGCAATCAAAAGTTGCTGTTTCTTTGTTTGTTGCAAAAAATGTATTTTCCAATGTATTGTCTACGAAAATTTATTGGGGTCCACCAAAAAAAATTATTGATTTTTTTCTCATTTTATATCCATAAAAAAAATGGAAAAGGTGTACTTTATTCAATTTTCAATCTCTTGGCACAAGTGAGACTTGAGTTAAAACTTTTCTAATAATTCATTTATGTTTTCTGAACCACTCTCATCTTTTCTAAAACAAAATAACTAAATTTAATAATAAAATCAGAATCTATCGAATTATCACCGGACATTGAAACGGCAGTGAGAATACGCAGACATTTGCATGCGCAACATTTGAATAATTGAGTTAACAGTGAAATTTCCGGGACGTCAAATTGAGTGATATCTGAGAATATTTTGCCGTTCCATTCGTGTTCGACTGACATTTTAAATTGTTGAATATTTGCTAACTAGCCTTTCCCATACTTGTGCAACACTGGTGCCACTCTATCAAACATTAATTATTTTACTATTTGTCGATGAAAACAGGAATCATTTATCAATTATCCAACATGTCAGAGATCTCTAAACGTTTCTAAATTGTAAATAGCTATATTAAATGAAAATATACTAAACAGTGGAAATAAAAGACTATTGATCATATGTATTTCTGCCCTATTTATAATACCTTTAATATTACATGCATTAAATCTTAAAGAATATTTTTGGATCTAGTAATAAGTACATTATTTAATGAAATAGCGCTTTACATTTTGAATTACGATTAATTAAGCTAATACAACCTTAAGTTGAATCTGTACTGAAAATCGGTAGATTATCCATTAAGGCAATGAGGCACGTGCTTAAGTGCCCTAAGACTAGACATTTATTTGCCTATAGTGTTTTAATATAAGCCACTGCTGAAAATAATTTATAGAAATTTATCAAATTTTTCATAGTTGCTTTTAATTTATTATTATTTTAGAGGAAGTACCAAGTTGCGCTATAACAATTATTATTATTGTATATTATTTTGTTTGACCTTAGTAATATTTTGAATATACAAAGTATACGAGGGGTCTAACAAAAGTTCGCTAAGTTGGCATTAATTCATTTGTTTCTGAAAAAATAAAAGTTGTTTCTCAATTTGTTATAGTCTAACGATATTTCATGACTAATTTCAAGATTATTGATGTAATGTTGGTAGAAATTCCACCAAACAGCAACAAATTTGTTTTGTCATTCTCTTTGGATTTCGACGTCAACTCAGGCTTATGCAACTTCCAGGAATGCCAAAATGTATATGGAGTGAATGCATCATCCCTTGTGACTATTCCCAAGTAGTTTCAAAGATTTCAAACCGGACATTTTTTTGTAAAGTGAAGGCAAACATTGACCAAAATCCAAGAGTGATACAGGAAATGTTAGTTGATACAGGAAATGGTAGTTGATGAATCAACTCTTTGGATGCACGAAGAAATCTGCTCGATGGATTTCACGATTTTTAAATGAGGATCAAATAAAGGCACGTGTTCGTTTTGACGAATATTTCTTAGAAAATTTTGAAAATGGAGGTAATGAATTTTGGTTCTATAAGTTTGATCTGGAAACCAAGCAGCAGTCCATGGTATGTTGTGCAGAAGGTGCAAATCCAGTTAAAGCAAGACAACAAAAATCAGCAACAAAAGTGATGATGTCGATTTACTCTACCAGGGTAAAAGTGGTAGCTGTTATCTCACTCGAAACTAGTCAGATAGTAACTGCTAAGTAGTATAGAGAAACTTGTTTTTAAAAAAAATGTTGGGAAACCAGAAAAAAGGGAACTTCGTCGCTACTTTTTACATTACCCTCGTGAATGCTCACTGAAATTACCAACAACTTTCTTGTGATCTCTGGTATCAATTAAATTCACCCAGCACCTAATTCTAAAGACCTAGCGCCTAGTAATTTCTGGCTGTTTCCAAAAATTTTAAAAAATTGAAGTAAAGAGTCTTCAGTTCCAATGAAGAGATCATTAATTAAAAGTTGAAAAGCTCCAAAAAGCCGATTTTGAGGAATGTTATTAAAGGTGGTTCTACTGACCTAAGAAATGTATTTGAATAAATGAAAATTATGTTGAGAAATTATAAAAGAATGAAAAAAAAATATATTCAGGAAATATCATAGTAATCAATAGGTTCGTTGTTGGTCCGTTGCTAAGCAGAAAATTATGAGTTGCCTCTGACGTGTATATTTTTTGTGTGTCCTGTTATTCGTACTTTTTTGTTATAAGCTGGTTCGCGTAAAATTCTGGATGAAATAATGAAGCCTTCGCCCAGTTCGAAAGGGCATTCGTCTTCTATCGCGAAGAAACGAAAGACCGCTCGACTTGTTCTCGCGGCAATCGGAGATATTCAGACGCAATTTGGAGGGTCGAAAAAGGGTGCTTCTCTGAAGGAGATCACTAAGTACATCATCGAAGAGTACGCCGTTCCCGAGGATGACTTCAAACGTTACGTGGTGGGAAGCGTCGAACGCGGCGTCGCCTTCGGAGCCATCCGCAAGGACCGCGACAAATATGGCCTTGGCGAAGCATTCCTCAGCGACGGAACGCAACTCTTCAAACCTAAATCTGTTAGACGGATCATGTCTAAGAAGTTCAGCAAACTGAGACTAGGCAAAAACATTATTATTTAAAAAAGAAAAACTTCCCGGCGCATCCCCGCTTAAATTAGAACGTAAATTACATGAAATTTATAAATAATATTCACAATTAGTACAACTAGTCAATTTAAGTTAAACTTAAATTTTTGTATGAAATCAATTATAACCGAAACGCATTAAACAAATGAAACTTACGAAATTTTATTCTATATAAAATTTAAAAAAAATAGTGATAATTACAAAATCTGAAAATATACTAACACAATGCGCATTTATAATCTCTCCTTTCATCTATTCTATCCAGGATTATTTTGGATTATGCAGTTTGATTGTTTGGACGTTATGATTTCCACGTCGTTTAATTTATTGAAAAACTGATTACGAAAATATATGTACTCCTATTTACCTCTCTCGATATAGTCGTAAACCTGTTTATATAAAGTTAATAAAGCACTTTCTTCGGATTTTTATTTAAATTTAAACAGTTAAATTAATGGGTACAATTATAATTAAATACAACATTAAAAATGAATACCAATAACACTTGTTGTCAAAAATATATACTAATCAAAACATAAATAAAAAACAAACGAAACAAATACAGTGAAACCTCGCTTAACGAGCGACGTTTCTGATAATGAGTGACGATGAGAAGAGACGTCCCGAATTGTGCGACTGCTACATCATTTTCTTGCCAAATATGTTTGTAGTATATGTATACAATATCTTTGTCATTTCTTATTTCCATTTTGTTATATACAGCGTAAAATATATTTCCAAGAACGTTTAACGGTATTGATTTAAATCAAAGAAACGTATTTCATATGACAAATTCGTAAAAGTTGATTTAAAAACAAGCATATTTCTGCAAATCTCATTTCCAAACGTATTCCACGAGCTGGTTTAATGCATCGTTCTGAGAACTCTGTTTCTTTATTGGATTTTAAATTTAGAGACGTCTGCAAGAAATACACGTTTTATTAATATTGAAATTCAATTTCACAGTGAATATTTGAACTTGATGAAGTTGATCTAAAATAGTTCATGAACTAGCAATAAACTTTTTGCATTTTTTTTGTAATCTATTATTTATAATATATATTATTATAATATATAATTATTTTGCAGAATTATTCGAATAATTACACAATTCCATGCATTGCGATATAAATAACAGGTTACTTGTCGAATGAAATGATTTGGTAAGAATCATTTTATTCTATAACCTTACAGTACAACTAGAATTGTAAATATTTGCGAATCAAGGCATGGTACCAATTACCGGTAATTTTGGTAATTTTATTTTGACTTCGAAATTAAATGTGACATTGCACATGGACATGCTTTACCAATTATGAATAAAACTTAAATATTGAAATTTCGTTTCGAATGAATTGCACCTATGCAATTGGTTGTAAGAAGATTTATAATTAATAAATTGTCTGCGCAAAATACTGGCCTAAGCAAGGAATTAAAATCAGAAGTACTTTTACGTACTCAAGATCGAATTCAGTTGAATTAATATGTCATTACTAAAACTGTTAATTGACATAACGAAAATTGAAACAAGTCTAAGTGCTTTAGATACTATTTGACTACTGCGTGCACATTTTAATTCTCATCGTTTTTGTTTAATAGTTGAACAGTTTCTTTCACTATATTTGACTAATTTTCCTTGTAATCAATTTATTTAAGTTAGATTTTATTTTAGAGTGCTTATCTTCGTTGATATAGGTGGGTTGTTCTGCAAGTCTTGGAGCTGGGAATGGGTGGTACTGTACGAGGATTCGACGATGGCGTTGTTTGCAGACAAAAAACTCTGTTGTTCCCGGGGTTGTGTTAAGCTCATCGAAGCTCCGGAAATGCTGGCCGTAGGAGAGTGGACAAAGAACATTCCACGCCGTCCTCGCATCCCCACATCCTACGAGACCGATCAGCTGCTAGCCATCTCAGCAGGTCGATCTGATAACATCTACTGGGTCTTGGCGCAATCACCAACCGAACTGAAGTAAGATTATTACAGCAATCCTATACCATATAAATAATAATGGTAGTTTAACAAAACAATACCAAATCTCGCAATTAGAGTTTTAAGCTTTGCATTCGCCGGTCAGCATGTGACCGATGTCTTTATCTGGCAAATCGTATTTAGAACTCAATTGAAGCTAATAATCTGAGCATTATTACTAGGACAATTTAACTACATTTACAATAATATATAGTTTGCAATATGAAAATAACTGCATTACCAATATTTAAATTTTCCAAATAAAAATTGTGCATTTTTAATCACATTCTACATTATTGAAATTTAACTTTGTCAATTCCTCCAGAACACAAATACTTACACCTCCCAATTATTATCCTCCGCACGTCATGGAAACGAAGCAGCAGTGCATTTGAGCGAATTTTCCACTTGGCCGTGCTTAATAATTACCATCATCAATATTATTAATTAAATGTTTTCTTCTGCTTCCGCAGCGATTGGGTTACGGCTATAAGCAATACAGTGAGTACTTAGTTTTTTTTTTTAATAATGTCTTTTCATAAATGATCATTATTATATAAAATTCTTGAAAATTCAAATAATCTAACTGTTCTTTTATTTAAGGATTAGTAGATTATATGATTATGCTTAATGTTTTCTAGTTTCAGCCGTCGTCACATTTTCCGTTGGAGAAGAGATTGTCCTTAATACCTCAAAAAAGTAATTATGATTAGATCTTTTTGAATATGGTCGCATATATAACTCGTAGTAATAAGAAATTTGATCAAAATTGGTCTCTACGCACATCCTCTGAAAATTTAATCAAAGCAATTACGTATTGTATTGCACAACCATATGCCTATATCCGAACAGTAATAAGCACTTATAGTTTTTTTTTTCTATTTTTTGTTATTGTCACCAATTGAATATGATCTTCCAATCATTAACATTAATTTATATTTTACCAAGTCCAACTCAAACTCATATTTTTTCCAATTCATGAACATGGCTAAAAGCCTCACCTTTTCTTCATACAATCCTACCTAATACTCTCAACCAATATACTTCCTTTTATTGAAAGTTTACTCAACCTATCCTTTAAATGTATCCTTATTCTGTATCCATCAGGAGTATTTTAAATATGTGTGTTGGAATGAATATAATTCAAGATCCATTGTGTTTGTGTTTTGTAGGTCAACAAGTATCGAGCATAAGAGGTTGCAAGGTCAACGCTGATATGCACAAGGCGGGAGTAAAGAAAGGCGGAGGAGGGATGGATGATGCCGATCACACGGTACTCTCGGGGGTGGCGATAGATTGGGGCCACGGCTGGGGTTGGGGGCAGTCGGTTAATACGGCCGCTTGTGCCCAAGAGGCAGCCTCCGCCACAGCCAACTCCGCACTCTATTGCCATGCTAATGTAGACTACTCGCTCGGCGGAGGATGCGAAGAGGTCGACTGGAGCGCATTCGCGGACTTCAGCTTCTGAATCGCTAAAACCTTATAACATTAACAACATAAAGGTTATTAAATGTCTAAACGGAAGTAAGTTTCAGATAATTTTATATTTACAAGATATTTGTACGATTTTTAAACATTTCTCATTTTTTACTTTTAACCTGTCTAAAATAAAACAGAAAGATAGAAAACGAATGAATGTTTGAAGTTCCAAATAAAATTCTATTTTATCCAAAATTACAAAAAAAAAAACAATAAATTTATTTTCGTAAAATCAAATTTAGATTTCATTATGTTTATAACTGAATATAACACGAATATGAAATTGAAACACAATAAAAAATATAAACTTACACATCAAAATTTTAAACACTAATAGCACGATATTCAATGTTTAGAAAACATATTTAATCAATTAAGTATGTATGAGCAGTTCTTGTATATATATTCAATCATAAATTATATATGAGAAATTAATTAATGACGTCCATCTAGAATTAGGACCAATGGTATAGAACAATCCTTCCAATCTTTCTGTAATCCTTATAGCATTATGCATGTCATTTTTATCAATATGAACACTAAATTATATTTTCTTCTTACCTGAGATTTATCAGTTGCACTGGTGGTGTATGTAAATTATAATATAAATAGCAATAATATTATGTTTTTCTTATACTTAAACGTTTAAGATTGTTCTAAAATATTTTTTTATTATTTTTTCATTAGATAAATCAATCATATAAAATAGAAAAATAGAGAAAGTAATATTATTTATATATATATATATATATACACTTGGTTCTCTTTTTATGCGGTAGATACTTTCCACAGGAAAACGCATAAAAATAAATCGCACAAAAAAGGACTAGACACACGTATAAAAATAAAGGATACGTTCCATATTTGATTTACAATATACCGAAAATCTCATAAAAAATGGGTTTATTAAATTTCAGAAAAATAATTAGTCTTACTATATACTTTCTGAAATTTTTATTCATAATTTTATAAAAACGTTAACAATCATAGACAAGTTTATTAAATTTCAGAAAAATATAATCTTAACACATTCCTTCTAAATTTATACGGAAAAATTTTACAAAAAAAAATACAGAAAATTTTTATGAAAGTTAATCTTTCTTCACATTTTTTTCTTTAGAATAATCGTCGCTATATGAGATTGTTCGGCATAATTTGCGAACTGGTTTGAAATCACTTTCATCACTAAAAGAGATAGTCAGCATATCAGTTCTATGTCCTGAAGATAAAGATACGTCACAAGTAAAATTAGTCTCAACTTCGCATGTTGATTTTTTCCCTTTGACAATATAATCAGTGATTAAACTTTGCGATGACTTTGCTATTTTTTTGTACAATTCCTGATATACAGAAATTCAATTCTGAAGCTCGCGTAGAAACTTGAATGCTCGTTCAGAATTATCATCTTTTTCGATTAAATGTTTTGCCAATTTGTGTCAAAACGTGTCAAAATGGCCTAAAATAGTTATTTAAAAAAATTCTTCTTGATATAAAAACCGCATCAAAAGAGGACCGAGTGTATATATATATACGCGATGTCCATTATCTATTAATCATTTAGAGAGTAAATATAGTTATTAAACTACCTAAGTGTATGTAGAAATAACAGTCCTTATATTAAAACAAGAAGCAGATCGTAAATGTAACAGAAAGTGGTAAAATGAAATATGAATATTGGTCTTCAATCAATTCACAGATGGCAAAACAACATTGGTAGTAGTTGAATAAGAAGAAGAACATATTTTCACTGCCATTTTAAGAAACTTACCAATAACCATAATTTTACAAATTCAAAAAAGTAAAAATTACGGTGAAAGCTCAAACATCCCCTAATTTATATAAATAACCAATTAGATATATCCTGTACATTGTTTATTTATTTTTACTTTATATATGTATAAGTTTCACTTAACTTAAGTGAAACAAATGTAAGATGAAACTCCAAACAAACCTAGATAGAATAGAAAATGTATATTCAGTTCACAAGCTCTGTGTAGCATTTGTGAATTAAATAAATGTATTATTATATTTTTTAGATTTAAGTATGAATTGTAACATCAATATGTTTAACGGAGATTGATAATTGATTTAGCTCAAAAACTTTTAGTATGTAGCGCATATAAATGGTATATAGATATAATTGTTTTAGATGATATTTAATGAGAAGAAATACCCTATTTGTGATATGTGTACTTATATGTAACAAGAAATAAAAATGTGCTAAATATATGTAATTGTAAACACTTTTAATTCTCATGATTCTTTGGTTGCCTATGTACGTTTGGCGCCTTCATTTTCACTTTTATGTAAATTCATAATAACTAAAACAGATAACTTCATTAAAACTATCAATGCAATCAATGCCTTTGGGAATGTAATTATAAATCAACTTCAAAATCATCTCTGGTGTACTAACGTCAGTAATCTTTCGGTACAACAATTTCAGCCGGTTTTCTATTTCATATTATTATTTTAATTCTTTTTCTGTATAATAACTAGCATCGTCTGCTAAAAACGCAACTGTTGCAAGAAAATTTTGTTGCAAAATACATTAAATTTTTTAAAGAATACCATTATTTTCGGTGAATAATTTCAAATGTTGTGGAATTGTAGTTCCGCCACTAAATATACTTGTAAATTCTAACGTACACACATAGTTTATAGTTTTGTTATTATCGCCACCCACACATGCATTATATTTTTATATTTGGCATGGCTTTATACATCACAAATAAGTTTAATCTTGCATTCAGTTGAATTAGAAAACAGGAACATTTGTTAAAACAAGTTGGCAACACATTAGTATTTCCATAAACAGTGTCTGACAGTGGATGACAGTGGCGCCTTGTTATGATTTTTTGCTATGAAAATAACTTGATGGCTCGTATTGATATATTTAATGAAGTCATTTTTAATTTGTTTATAAATGGGATTTTGTTATTTCGTTTAATTTTAGTTCAAAGATTGTAAAGGTGACTACTTTACAGCTTCATCTTAGTCTAGAGTGGTCTAGAGGTTAGTGTTTATAGTCTATTGTTTGTACATAAACTTAAAAACACAACAATTGTGTCTTAGGATGAGTTACAATAACAGTCCTTGGGAGAACCCTGCTCAGACATGGGGTAACAGAGGCAGGCCATGGCAGAGGTTTAGTAATGTCCAGGGCAGAGGTTCTGGAAATGTCAGTGGAGGCAGGGGAAATCAATCGAATTGGCCCAGAAATAGCAATTACAAGTAAATATACTGAAATTCAATTGCATTATTTATAATCTAAATGTGTTTTAGCCCGAAATGGAATAATGTTAAACACTACAACAATCATAGAGGCCATGGCAGAGGATATTGGCAGAAACCTTATACACAACAACACTTCAACATACCTCCACCTAAACCTCCTTCTCCTTTGCCAGGAACTGAAGAATACACGCAGAGGAACATACAGCAAACCAGTGAATTGATAAAAAAGCAGTTATATATTGGAGGAAATTATATTGATGAGGAGGAGATGAATGAACAAGAGCCTGAAATGTCTTATAACAATACTAAAGTCAACACTGAAAATTCACCACAAAATAATCACCTAAAAACTGTTAAGAAGGTGAAGACTATAAATGTGAAGGAAGTACATGATAAAATTATAAGGCACATTTCTAACATGAGTTTAAGTCAAAAGATTAACTTTGTGGAGCGAGGATCGTCAGAATATGATCGGTTAATCCGAGAGATTCAAATGCAGAAGCGGTTAGAGTTGTCTAGAACGTTGAGAAATATGAGTAACAATTTTGAGCATCGAAGTGCCGATTGCGATGTAATTAATTCGATAATACCAGATATCGGTATAAGGATTGAAGATCTGCCCAAGGAATTCATTGAACAGTTGTCAAGTACACTCAATATGGACTTTGACTGCCTCGGTATTAATGACTCTCAAGATAACGAAACTATAGATCCATTGGATTTCGAATATTTGAATACTCCAATCAATAAGGCCACTTTGGACTCTAATTATTGCAGTCAAATACTGGAGATGACCAATTTTGATACAAATCAGTCCTATTTAAATATCAGTAATGAGAGTGCTGTTATGCAACAATCAAAAAGTTTAGATGAGGAGGAAGAGGCAAAGAAAATCAAGAACTTAATGGAAGAGCAAGAAGAGGCAAAATTGAAAGAAAAGGAAAAATTGGAAAAACTGAAAGAAGAGGAAAAATTGAAGAAAATGAAAGAAGAGGAAAAGTTGAAAAAACTTAAAGAAGAGGAAAAATTGAAAAAAAATCAAGAAGAGGAAAATTTAAAAAAAAATAAAGAAGAGGAAGCAATGGCGAGAATGAAAAAAAGAAGCAACGAAGACAAAGTGAAAATGAATACAATTATTGACGAAGAGATCTCTCCACCAATTGACCTTGCAGCTCAGAAGAACGAGTACAAATTTAGAATTTCCCATTTCATGGACAGCATCAATAAAGATATTGATGATAATGTGGTTCCACCAACAACCTTTAACGAGGAACAAAATTCCTACGAGAAAAAAAGCTTTCAAAATGAAAAATGCAACAGTAGATTTCAGCCGAAAGGTTTTCGCGCTTTTCGTAAAGATTCAAATAACGAGTGGCATAATCAACAAGATAATCAGAACAGACAATACAAGAGAGACAGGTCAAACGATTGGCAAGATCATAAAAATACACGTCGTGACAAATGTAAGAACTGGAAAAATAGAAACGATCAAAAAAGAAATCCTGATAATAATCAAAGAAATCGTACTAAATATGAACAAAATAAACATAATAGGACACTAGAAGAAGAGAAGTGTAAACCATCGAAAAATAGCGATGACCAATCTAAAATTGCCTCCGAAAGTAAATCAAGCGAGAAAATAGATATACAGAAACGGTCAGATGATGAATCGAAATTTATCGAAAAGTCAATCAGTGAAGAAGCAAATAAAAATGCCATTCCGATAATTAAGGAAATTATGATCGAGGATGGTATAGTAAAGAATACTCCAGGTAAAATAAGGTCATTTAAAATACCGAAATTGTCAGATCGTAAAGAACGAAAGGATACTGTTATCAAAGGCAGCGAGATTGAGCAGTCATCCGAGAAAAAAGTAGAAAATTGGTTTGAGAAAAATGTTGATCAACTTACGTCAAAACATAAAAAGAAACGTAAAAAAAGTAAATGGGACCATAATGAATGTAAAACAGAGACATCTGTAGAAGAACCAATTAAAGTGGAGCAGATAAATACTGAAACAGAAATATCAATAAATACTGTTGAGAATACGTTAACCGAAACTGATGACAAAATTAACGAAATATCCAATTACGATGATACATTCGACGGCGATTACGGACACTTTGACGATGATAGTCTGGACGGTGATAAATTCATTATTAAGGATTCTATTTCCTTGATTGTGGATCAATTAGATGAGGATCACAAAATGGAAAGTAAGCTGAAGGAGACTGATGAACAATCAATGAAAGAAATTTTAGAAAAATGCGAAACTAAAATGGATCAAGCGCAACATGAAACTGTAACAAATATGGATAAATTATCTTCATCCAACGAAAAAGTGCAAAATAATGATAACTCACCACTATCTCAAAATTTAGAAAATGATAATGATTTGTTGATAGATCAAAAGAATTCGATGCCTGATAAATTAGAAATTTTGCAAAAGGAGCAAGAGGTCTGCAAAGAGGCCAAAGATGAACATTTTGATAATACGATGAAAGAACACGATAGTCAAGATTTGAAAGAATTAATCGATAATTCGATCGAAAATAAATCGATTGCCGAAAATATTGCATTACAATTATCACCCACAAAGTCTGAGGAGACAATAAACGAGTTTCATAAAGAATCGTTGACTTTAACGAAACAACCTTCTAACCTTCCTGCCAATTTAATTAAGGAAACTCATGAGGAGACAATAAACGAGACTTTAAAAAAAGAAAATATTGGAAACGAAATAATTGAAGACAAAATATCAACCTCAGAAAAAGTGGAAAGTGATGATAATTTGTTAAATATTGATCAAACTTCTTCGTCTTTAGTTGAATTAAGTGTACTGCCATTAGAAGACATTAAATGTGAAGAACGTTTGCTGCAAGTCACGTCTCCGAGAAAACTGTGGAGGTCTCCAGGAGAAAAGAAGCTGTTGCCAATGGATTTGCCCAACATTGAGACTCAGAATTCCAGTTTGGAAAATGAAGAAGAAGAGCTTCAAATCGCGATATTTGGTGAAGATTGCGCTTCTGAAAACGTTCATGTTAGCGAGGAGGAGAATGGTAGAATCGTACTTAAAATAAAGTTGAACAAGAAAAATTTATTTAAAGAGAATAAGGATATGGAGAACTTGGGTAAGGTCCAAAAGTACATCGCACGCATCCTCAAAAAAGTTTCAGAAAGCGGCAACGACGACAATAATTTCTCAATTGTCGATAAGATCAAGATGAAACGTTTAAATCGCGCTATGCCTAAGAGTATGAAAATGAAACTACAAAGGGAGTTGGAGGAGGAGGAACAATTACACCACATTCCAGATAAAAGTTTATTCAGTGATTCGACGGTATACCAAAAGGTTATTCTTAATAAACTGAAAAATACTGATCAAGAACTTAAAAGATTGGAAGTGTCTCAGGTAAAAATGCAAGAAGATCTTAGAATAATACACGAGGAAACTGTGAAACTATTTCAATTTCGGGAAAAGTTGCATCAAGAGTTATTAGGGAACCTGATCGACCAACCAGCAGAGGAAACAAGTCCTCCAAAGGTTGCAGAAAAACCAAATTTTAAACGTAAGAGGAAAATGAAGTTAGCCTCGGTCAACATCGAAGAATGCATCGATACCGTAATGAACGACTTTACAGAAGATCTGAAGACTATGGGCTACGGCAAGGTGGAGGCAGCTCAGACGGAGAAACAATCAATTGAAAATAGCAAATATCCAGAATGTTCTAAGCGATTAGTGGTTAGGCTTGTGAAACAAGATCTGAATAAACTAAAGGAACAACTTTATAAAATTAACGATTGCTGTGAAATTAATTTCGATGGCTGGGACGGATCTATTCTCGTTATAAAGGTATATGCAGTCAAGATATAAATTTCAGTTGGTAAAAATGTATTTTATTCAATATGAGTTATTTAATATTTTTTTGAAAAGTTAATAAGTATGTATAAAATTGTCTATTTTTAGGTGGTGAATGACATTGTTGTAGCCGGAAACGATAAAGGCGTTTTGTATTTTTACAATATCAATGCGCCTAAGCTTCTGAAGTCACTATCATTAGCTTCGAAGGCGATCGCTTCGATTTTTGCGGTTTTTAAGCAATCTCAAACAATACTTTATATTGGATCATTGGATGGAACCCTATCTGCGGTTAACCTGGACACCTACGAAGTGCTCTCCACAGTCAACGTCGACGACTCCATCCTCTGCATGGAATCCGCTTGGGGCTATATCTTCTGTGGTTCACAGTCCGGAAATTTAATCCGCTTCAATATTAAGGTACTTCTAGTCACCTAGAGCATTAACGAAAATCTATACATTAATTGCTTGCAGAAAAATAAAGTCGAAGACACGATTACAATTTCTGAAAAGGATCTGCTAGTATTAAAAGCAACCCAAGAGGGTGCAAGAAGGGTCTTGCTATTGGCAACCAGAAACTCGCCAGTGTCTGTCCGGGACGCCATGTCTGGACTCCTTATGCGCACCATGGAGGGAATGATAAATCCCACGGTATATACGATGCTACTACATAACAATAAAGTATATTGCGGAACAAGTCAGCATAATGTACTCGTCTACACTTTTCAGGTATTTCTTCTTACTCGTAAAACAATATAGATTCGACTCCAATGTTTGACATTTTTCAGGATGGGCAGCTAATTCACAAACATGAACAAAGTAATACTTCTGGAGTAGTCTGCATGACGATTATCAACAACCTTTTATTTGTCGGTTGCTACAATGGTAACATCTATGCGTACAACACAAAAACTATGGAATTCATCACTTCTTTTTCCGGTCCCGGAGGACTCTTTCTATCCATGGAGGTTACCAACAAACGCGTAAGATACATTCATCGACGAATTATAAAATCCCTAATATAATTTGAACAATTTCGATTGTTTGCAGATAATTGCCGGAACGAAGCAAAACAAATTTATGTCTTGGGCGCTACCAGAATGTGTTTTAAATCAAATTAGTTATTAAGCAATAAGTTGAGTGTCGAATATTTCGTGCCTTAATTTTAAGCTTTGTGTAGCTACTTCATGTCTCAGAGGTCTATCAAACATTGTATTAGTACATTCATGATCGATTACGTATTTTATCTGTATATTTTGAAATAACTATTTTACGTTTGTATTATTTAATATCTTTAAACTATGAATATTTTTATATTTGCTGTACATTATTTTCTCTTCATATCTTTCATTAACCTTCTTCTGTATTATATGTAAAGTATATGTACAAAACAAGAAATTACTGATTTTATGACTAATTTATGTTTATTTAATTTTGCATTTACTTTGAATGAATCTATACAATATTTCTCTATATATTATGATTAAATAAAAAGTAGTTAACATTTTTAGAACAAATCATTTCTATACTGTTCTTTTTGCATTAAGCTTTACATATTTTTTGTTAAATATAGAGAATGCACTTAAACTCAAATAAAATAATAAAATGCACTGCGTTACACAAATTAATATTTATAAAAATTGTATTAGTGATATTGGACAAGTTTTCTCAAAGGTTGTCCGTGAATTTCCAATTTATACAATATACTGTTCTCAGATTTAAATAGCGTACATACAACAGGTCATCTTATCTTTGTGTTTATTGATAAATTTTCGTTGGATTCTCAAGTAGTGATTAAATATATAAAAATAAAGAAAAGTAATATCGTCTAGCTTTGCAGGTGTGCCTATATACGTTAAATACGTCGATTCTCCGAATGATAAAAATATATCAGTATAAAGGAAAAATAAGTATGCATATTATATTATCAAGACGATAAAACAATACATTCATTGATACCGACATGTTTCCAATTGTATTTGATATTCGAGCATTTCACTGTTATTTAAGTTAAGTACTAGAATTGTCTGCGTACATCAAATATAGCATCTAAATCGGCAGATTTTAAAAAATACAAATAATAAGTATTTTCTCATTAAAAATAGAATTAACTATTAATATATCGTTTGCTAATATTATTTACATTAATTACAAACCAACGATTCTAGATAACTTTCATATTGTTTGCTAAGAATACTTAATAAATATAACGATATAAGAAACGTATATGTTTACAATAGATTATAATCATATACATCGGGATAATCATAATTGAGGCTTACATATTATTTTTATAAAATGTCTTCGTTTTTATATTGCTTATCAATCATGAACCTGGTAATATAACGATGATCAACGACTGTTGAATATGAGGAAACGAAAGAATATAATAGGAAAAGATAAGATTTTTTAAATTATCCTTTTTTTTCTAAGGAAAAGAACTATTTTCCTTAAGGAAAAAACACCCTTTGTGTGTCTGTTGTGCAGGTGTGATACTAGGTATTATCATGACTAGTTATCAAGATTGATCTGAATTAATCAATCTAAAATACACGGATAGAACACCTGTGCGTTATCATGTCATGATTAAATCGGGTTCGAGAATATGAATTTAGTACGGTAATATCGACGACGACGGACTGTGTTCTATTGGACTCCCAGAGAAAGGAAAGACTACATTACTTGTAATATCTATTTAACAAGAAATGTGCGTGTAGTGCTTCAAGAAAATGGTATATTTGCATTTAGCGTTGGTTGTTCTGGCTTTTCTGGGTCATGTTCACGCCGATTGTACAATGTACGAAATGTGCGTAAATGATGAAGGCAAGAAAGTTAATTGTTACAACAAAGTTCCGGTGAAGCCGAAGGAGCTGAAAGACCCGAACGTTGCTGAGCAATTGAAAACGATTTGTCCGAGGCTTTTCAACAAAGACAAACCAACATTCTGCTGCGACGATGCTCAAGCCCAATACACGACCACTATGTCGGCGATGTCCAACATCTTCGGCAGGTGTCCCACCTGCGTCAAGAATATCCTAGCGAATGTATGCGAATTCTCGTGCTCCCCTGATCAAAGTAATTTTGTAAAAGTGAAAACTCATGGGACTAATGGTGGTAAAGATTTCGTGAAATCTATCGAAGTTACCATCCTCGAGGAGTACATGAATACAACTTACGAGAGTTGCAGCCGTGTAGCGCTCCCTTCATCTGGAGGTGTCGTCATCGACGGAGCTTGCGGTGAAGGCTTCAACTCTTTCAACTGTAATCCAACAAGGTAAATTCGGTGAAGATACATTCTACAGACTTGCAATGATCTATTCTAATATGATTATATCCAAATTCCAAAGTTAATTGTAACTGATAACATTATGAAATTTAAACAAAATTTACGTTGAGTGTTTTTGATATTATAGCGAGAAAAATGACGACACAATCATTCTTATCATTTTTTTACAGATATGAGTATATACTCTACTCTTTATTAGATCGATTTTGCCTAAAATCATACATTTATTAATAGTTCATGACCTAGGATATCTACATTTTTATATACAATTATAACTGAATCATAACATTATTTGATAGATTTCAATAATTTAAAGTTATATTTAAACATATTACAACATTGTTGATATTCTATTGAATTTAAGGTTTTTCGATTACTTGGGAAATGGAAATCCGGTAGCTCCATTCCCGGTTTATTATAAATCCACAGATAACGAAAATTTGGCAGCAAAAACGGAATCCAAGAATTGCAATGAATTGTTTGAGGTATTTGAATCAGGTCATATGTAAATTGAACCGTTAATTGACAATGCTTCTTTTATTTTATTTATTTTGATAGGGAAGCGATCCTGATTCAATGTGCAGTTGCATCGATTGCCCGTCCCTCTGCACAATTGATAGATATAAGCCGGAAGCAACTGCCTTTGAAATCTGGATTCTAAACGGATATACCTTTATCGTTGCCATCGTGTTAGCTGCTGTCGTTACCATCATCGTCACCGTCTTAGCAATCAGATCAACAAGAAAAAAATCAATGGACGATGGCTCTATCGTTGAACATAAAACTTCTTCCGACAACGATAAAAATTCCGACATTGAGAGTAAAGATCAAATGCTTGGATCACGAAAAAACGTTGTAAATGAATTTCTGCAAAAGATTTTCAGAGCCATCGGCATAGGTAATATAATTTCTATACGTATAATGCGGCAGTTAACAATGTTCTTCAAGCTATGGCCACGCACAGTATACTGGTGATATGTTTGAGCTCTTGGGTAGTGATTGGAATAGGATATGGTGCGTTCGATTTGAAAGTGACTACTAACCCTGTGGAAATTTGGGCGGCGCCCGGTAGCAGAAGCAGAATTGAGAAGGACTACTTTGACACTAATTTTAAGCCCTTCTATAGGACGAACCAAATATTCATTAAGACTGTCGGCATTTCAACGGTATTATTCTAAACAAGAAATGAAATATAATCAAAACTTCGCTGTTTCAGTTCAAGCACAAATACTACGAAAATGAGATTACATTAGGTCCTGCATTCAATCGCACATTCCTTTTTGAAGTTTTCAAATTGCAAAAGAAAATTGAGGAAGTGAGTAGTTTCTCTGAAATTAGACTAAATGTACTGACTCTTGCGAATATTTTTAGATTGGTCAAGCTGAAGGGAAGGGATTAGAGAAAGTGTGTTATTCGCCGATGACCAATGAATTCACAGGACCAATCACCATTGATCGTTGTACAGTCCAATCACTGCTCGGTCTTTTTGGAAATGATTTGGAGAAATTTATGTCCCTTTCAGACGATGACTATCTTGACACTATAATCAGCTGCGCACGGTTTTTATTTAAATACTAACTCCTTGATATTTAATTAAATATTATGTTTTTTTTTAGAACACCTTACAGCGTTAAATGTTTGGCTCCTTATGGGGGGCCAGTAGAACCCGGCTTAGCTTTGGGTGGAATGACTCTGGATGATTACACGGACGCGACTGCAGTAGGCTTGACATTCATAGTCGCTAACAAATTGGACATAGATGAACTAGAACCGGCGATGGAATGGGAGACAAAGTACAAGTTTAATTAAACACTTAATTTATTTAATATTACATGTGGTCATTATAGGTTTGTTGATTTCATGAAAGAGGAGGTCGATCAAGGACATATAAGTCCCCTAATGGACATCGCCTTCAGTGCAGAAAGATCAATAGAAGATGAAGTTGAAAGAGTTTCCAAATCCGAAATGGTTACCATTTTAATCAGTTACGCTGTTATGTTCATTTATATAGCAATCATGTTGGGTCATTTCCGATCATTTAGAACTATTCTGGTGAGGACTTCTTTTCATTCGAATTTCAGAAATTTGAATTTATATATTTTACAGTTGGATTCGAAAATTATCCTTGGAATCGGAGGTATTATTATTGTAATGTGCGCAGTAATTTGCTCTTTAGGTGTTTCCGGCTACGTCGGAATCTCTACGACTTTACTCACCATCGAGGTGATCCCCTTTCTTGTTTTGGCGGTAGGAGTAGATAACATATTCATCATGGTTCAAACCCATCAACGTGCTAAAGGGTATTTACATACTCTAGTTAGAGATGAAGTTAACTAAGAATGTACGTTTTCAGGATGGACCATTTGAGTATACCGGAGAAAGTAGGTGAGACTATGGCCAAAGTAGGCCCAAGCATGCTTTTAACGAGTCTTTCTGAAATATGCTGCTTTGCCATTGGCTGTTTGTCCGACATGCCTGCCGTCAACACTTTCGCATTGTACGCAACAATTGCTCTGTTCTTCGATTTTATTCTTCAGATTACTGCATTTGTTGCGTTATTGGCACTAGACGAAGCAAGGGTCAAGGTGCGAATCTTAATAATCAAACATGTATATATCCTCAAAATTGAATATTTGATTTCTAGAAAAATCGTTTGGATTTGTTCTGTTGTATCAGACTATCGTCTGTCGATGATATATCTGATGACGATGGGTTCTTATATGGAATTTTCAAGAAATATTATACCCCGTTTCTGATGAAGTAAGTTTTATTATACATTTTACAAATGGCGGTTGTCTCAAATCTTTGCATTTTCCAGAACTTGGGTTCGCTACACCGTGCTTGTGCTATTCACAATTCTAGTTTCGATTAGTATAGCTGTGATTCCTACAATGTCCGTAGGTTTGGATCAAGAAATGTCCATGCCAGAAGATAGCCACGTGCTGAAGTATTTCGAAGTATGTTTTAATTATGTTAATGCAAATATATATATAATTCTTCAATCAAATTGTTCTAGTACATGAAAGATTTGATGGGGATCGGACCACCGGTCTATTTTGTGACAAAGGGCGGAATAGACTATGCGGATGAAACAGTTAGGAAGAAGTACTGCGGAGGAATTGCCTGTAACCCGTCTTCAATAACGACGCAACTTTTCATTGCTTCTGGCCAAACAAATATGTAAGTAATTTCTTCATTCGAAAGAAATTCTACACATTAATTTAGAACGTACATTTCACGACAACCGTCTTCTTGGATTGACGATTTCAAAGACTGGAGCGAGATGGACACTTGCTGCAAGTACTTCAACAACAACGAATCCTTCTGTCCACACACGATAGAGACATGCACTTCGTGTACCTATAATCCAGCCGAATCTTGGCCAGATTATTTCGATAAATACTTACCATTCTTTCTGAATGACAATCCCGATCCTTCTTGCGGCAAGGGCGGTCATCCAGCTTACGCAGATGTAAGTAATAATAAACGAATAAATTATGTTAATTAAAACTAATAATTGTTACGGTTTAAATGGTATACATTTTAGGCTTTGCATTGGGAACTGAATGAGCAATATAATATCGAAGTAAAATCCTCATATATGATGACATATCACAGCGTATTGAGATCATCCAAGGAATATTACGAGGCCCTGAAATATGCTAGAAAAATTGGCGAAAATTTAACTTTAACTTTAGACATAGATGGCGTCGAAATATTCCCCTATAGGTAAAATTGATTAATCACATACAGTTAACTCAATAATTAAATTATTATTTCAGCGTGTTTTATGTATATTTCGAACAATACCTTACAATCTGGACAGACACTGTACAATCTATAGGATTCTCGTTGATTGCCGTACTTTTAGTAACATTTATAATAACTGGCTTCAGTTTCTTATCGTCTATTGTGACGCTTCTCGTAGTTTTGATGATTGTTATCGATATGGCCGGACTCATGTACTTCTGGGATATCATGCTTAATGCAGTCTCCCTAGTCAACTTGGTCATGGTAAAAAAAACATTCTTAGATATGAACAATTAATATATTTTGATGTCTTCTAGTCGGTTGGAATTGCTGTAGAATTTTGTGGTCATATCATACACGCATTCGAAAGATCACAGGAACCAACGGCCATTGGAAAGGCCACACATGCATTGAGTTCCATGGGAAGTTCGGTACGATTCATCTATTTTCTAATTCTTATTAGTACTCTAACACCTACTAATTACGTTGCAGGTATTTTCCGGAATCACTCTAACAAAATTCTTTGGGATAATTGTGTTGGCGTTCGCTAAATCCCAGATATTTAAAATATTTTATTTCCGGATGTATCTGGGTATGGTCATAATCGGTGCTCTACATGGTCTAGTGTTCCTTCCGGTTATGTTAAGTTTCCTCAACAAACAATTCTAATAGTATATAATTTATTTATTTAAAATAAACAAAATAATTTTATACATATCTATATATATTATCTAAATGTATGTCTGTAAACATTTACATTTTGTATACGCTGTTTTTAAGAAAAATAATACTATTTTAAACATCCTCTATTTAATAAAATTTGATACTACCTGTATATATTACGTTGCCAACTGAAAAAGAAAATGAAAGGAATTATAAACCTACTAGTCTTTAAACAAGAAACTGTTACTTTTTAATATTATTAGATTATTACTATATATATACTATCAAGAAATTTGTAAAGTCAAGTGATGAACATTTAAATCATTTTTATGTTTAGTTGGTAGCGCTTGCGATGAAAATTTGACAAGTGCGGTTGTGAGGTTTTGGCCAGCTCATCGATATTTTGAAACGGATGTTGATGTGAGGGAGCGCAAAATTCTGCACTCCACAAATAAAATATTTCATTTTCTTTAAAGATTCTTTGCTACAAATAATGGATAGTCTGTGGAAAGTTGGTCTGCTGCTATGCAGCGCTCTGTGTGTGAATGGTATTATGTGGAAATTGGAGCCTAACACTCACAAGTGCCTGAAGGAAGAACTTCACCAGAATGTTTTGGTAACTGGCGAGTTTGGAGTTTCTGAAGCACCAGGTCAAAAAGTTGACTATGTTGTAAGATCTATTGCACTGTATATATATGATTTTTGTTCTTTAAAACTATGTGTTGCTTTAGGTTAGGGACTCCAAGGGTCACATCTTGGCACAAAGGGAGGATGCACCCAGTGAGGGAAAGTTTTCATTCACAACTGAAACATATGATACATTTGAGATTTGTTTCATGTCACGTGTCCCTCAACGTAAATTTATTACACATTAATTAAATGTGATTTAATTGCAACTACTGTTCTTTTGTAGATCAACGTTCAATTGCACAGGAAATCTCATTAATTACCAAACATGGAGTTGAGGCCAAAAATTATGAAGGGGTTAGTGTTTGGCAACATACAATGTAATAGTGTATGCAAATGTAATGGTTATATTTTTAGATTGGAGAAGCAGCTAAGTTAAAGCCAATTGAGGTTGAGTTGAGGAGGCTGGAGGATTTGTCAAGTGACATTGTAAATGACTTTGCTATGATGAGAAAACGTGAAGAAGAAATGAGAGACACAAATGGTATATTATTATATAATTATTGTATAATACAATCATATTAACTTATTTAATTATTACAGAATCTACAAACTCCAGGGTTTTGTACTTCTCTATATTTTCAATGCTTTGCTTGTTGGGATTGGCCACATGGCAGGTGCTCTACTTGAGGAGGTACTTCAAAGCCAAGAAACTCATTGAATAAGTCAATATAATAGAATTATTACTCTCCTTTATTGATTCATTTAAATTACTTTCCATTGATTTTCCAGCCAAAAGAGTAAAATAAAAACAAACCACTGAAATATCTAATCTGGTTTGTTTTGCATCATCTTTTGTTAGTTAATTTATTTTGTACGCGATTGTATTTTTAAATAATAAATACGAAAAAAGATTTGTTTATTTTTGCAATGTTTGTACATGAAAATTACTTTACTATATAATTGATTTTTCCTTTATAAACTTATTACTCATGGAAGCTACATTCTCTATAATTTACATATGAGTACTAAATATTTTATACTATTTTTGAAGATGATAAAATAAATGAATGATAAAACCAATAAAGGGGTCTTATATTATACTTTTAATAAATATTTGTTAAAGTGTACCTTGACTATTTCATTTGATCAAGAAACAAATATATTTGACCAAGTTATTACATCCAATTTTAAGTTTTTTTCTGTATATGACTCATTAATTAGCATAGTAAAGAAAATGTAGTTATTAACCAGACTACATTTGGATCATATTTCTCTAATAAGCTGCAAAACATGTATGTTGTTACATGATACAAATACACATATTTCTATCATGGGTGTAAACCCCTATCACAGATGTATGTAAAGTTGCTAGTAAATTTTAATCTCAAATATAGTTTCAATTATTTTATTTAATATAAATATATAAGAGAATATATAAATTATAAAGAAATATTAAATTTATAACAATATTCGTTTTGAAATCAAGAGTATTTCAAAAATAATTTGACAGTTTTTTTTTTGACAGTTGACGTCTATCAATTGCTATCAATCTTCTGTGGTGTGTGTTATTAGCCACGTATTTTTATTTATTAAAGCATAAACGAAGGAAAACATTGAATAAAATGGAAGGGCACCTGTTTGTCAGTAAGAAAATATTTTCGTTTAATTTGGTTTTACGTTTCTATCATTTCAGGAGCCAAGTTTGTACACAGTGAAAGGTATTGCTATCCTGGATAATGATGGCAATAGGATATTAGCTAAATACTACGACAAAAATATATTCCCAACACCGAAAGAGCAAAAGGCTTTTGAAAAGAACCTCTTCAGTAAGACACATAGGGCTAATGCTGAGATCATAATGCTTGATGGATTGACCTGCATCTATAAAAGTAATGTTGATTTGTTCTTCTATGTTATGGGCAGCTCACATGAGAATGAAGTAATTATAAAAATAATCAATATAGCTGTGAGATTAACAGTTTGTTTGTAGTTGATTTTAATGAGCGTGCTGAACTGCTTGTATGATTCTGTGAGTCAAATCCTTAGGAAAAATGTTGAGAGAAGGGCAGTGTTGGAGTCATTGGATATAGTAATGTTGACACTAGATGAGATTTGCGATGGTGGAATCATAATAGATGCTGATCCCAACTCAGTGGTGTCCAGAGTGGCCCTAAGAACAGATGACATTCCACTTGGGGAACAAACAGTTGCTCAGGTAACAAATGCTTTGCATTCACTGTTCTGGTGATAGGCTTATGTATTATATATTAATTTAATAATAAATCAAATACATTTTTTTTATAAAACTTGGCCAACTTCATTCTCATTCATTGCAGGTTCTCCTCACAGCTAAAGAGCAACTGAAATGGTCCCTGCTCAAGTAACTGTAAGATATTACCACATATGATAATAAATATATATATATATAATTTATTGCATGTATTATTTTTAAATATAATGATGGAAACTCCTTAAAATACTGCAGAGCTCAAGTTTTGTTTAAGTATTATATCATGAATACTGTCGAAAACTTTTTTAATGTTGTTCGTATCGGTTGCAACAGTAAAATGCACGTAAATATCTCTATCTTCAATTTCCTGCTCCATTGTAAATCCAGCTACGTAGAGCAACTCGGGATCTGGCTTCTTTTTGGTGATATCCTTTGAAAATGAAATTATTAAAATGCATTATTATATCGGGACAATTCTTTACGCACAATTAATTTCTGCCTCATAAAAAGCTTGGCTTTTTCGTACTCGCTGCCTGGGTTGCCTTCTTTCGCTGTTGGTTTGTATGTTTTGTAATCTGGGAAATATTTATCAATGCGCTTTCCGTTCTCGATTTTTCTCTGGAGAATGTCCTGCTTGTTCAGAAATACAATCATGCCGGCCTGCCGCAGATATCTTGAATAAATATAAAGTTTTATTCATTTCTAATACTGCTGCATTTCATCTTTACCTGCCCCAATAAATGTTCTCGAAGATTTCTAAAGACTCTTTCAAACGATTCTTTTTCTCATCCTCTCGCAAGGTTTGATCAAAATCGCTGGCTGCTATTAAAAATAATACTGCGTGGATACCTTCGAACACCTAAATATATACATAATATAGAATATAGATACAAATTGCGTTTATCTTTATTATGAGTACCGAAATCCACTTCTTCTGGTGTCCTCTTTGACCGCCTACATCATACATCCAGAACTTGGCGACGCCTCCCCCATACTTCTTAGAAACATTCATTTCGAATTGAATTTTGGAGATGCTAGTGGTCATGATACGACAGAAAAGAATATCCTGTGTATTCGGAACATAGCTAGACTCCCGAATCACGTCGATTTGGTTTAAGAAACTGAAGAAAATGGAAATGGAACATTTAAATCTTATTTAAATGGAGATCTTACTGTTCAGCGCTGTCGATCAGTTGGTATTCATTGGATCTGTTGAAGCACTCTTTAACACCAGAATCGGCCCATAGCCCTTTGACGTGGTCAAAATATTCCTGAAATGATATTAAACTTTGAACACAGGAGATAATAACAATATATTAATTACTTTAAATAAATAAATGTTTTATTAAAATTCCGTTCCGTAATTGACGAGCGAAATACAAAAACTGTTCACTTACATTGGTGAAGTTGTCTGGTTCTTTGGGTCCAATTTTCATAATAAATTCCACTGATGATCTGTTATTAGTCTCGTCCGCTAATAACACCGGAGGACTCAACAAATCCATATGCTTAACAATTTGATAAATGGATTCGTGGATATTCTGTTTGATGAATGGTACCTTTTCTTTTCGTTCGCTGAAAAGAATCATATGATAATCCAAATTTGAACTCGAAAGTGAATATGATTTACTCCTCGGTGAATCCATTGATGTGAATAATCTTCATCTGTTTGATGATGGTGGTCTTGCCGACTTCGCCGGTGCCCAGCAGCAGTAACTTTTTGTACTCGGATTGAATTTTTGCGTCGTACTCTAACTCGCGTTCGATTTCCCTAGACCTGCGCTCGGCCGGATCCGATTGCTTATTGTTACAAAACATCTTTCCGCTTTTTACAACATTTATTCAAAAGTTAACAACAACAGTGTACTTATTTATTTATTTATTTGTTTGGTTTAGGGCGTGTTTCTCCACTCAAACTTAAATTGATAATACATCGGTGCTTGGAAATACAGACTTTGCCAATTAATCCCTCACGATTCTGTAATCTTATATATCCCGATAAGATAACGGAAGTGAGCTTGTAACATAGATTTAACAAAATCGAATCTTAATTGCGTTATTTATTAATGGTTTTTAATTATTGGAATACTGGATAGTGTGAATTAAAATTGAGTTATTTCATGCCGAGGTGCATGACGGAGCGCATGAGACCGGGGCCGTTCCAGTAGCCGTTCAACATCATGTGCCAGTAGAGTGGCGGCATGAAGTCCTTCTTCATCATATACATAATGAACATCTCTCTATCCTGGCTGATTGGGAAAGTTTCCGTGGGAGTAAGATTGTAGTCGAATTCGGCCAATATGCAAGATCCGTATCCGGTGACCAGAGGGCACGACGCGTATCCATCATAGACACTCTTCGGATCTTGTCCGTTCATGACGGCTTGCATGTTCTTGAAGACGATTTGCGACTGTGCAGCTGCAAAATTATATCCATTAACATTTGATTCATTTCAAGAGTAACCAAATTGCAACGTACCGACAGAAGCCGCGGTCTTCGAGTTCGGAGAGTTTCCACAATCGCCAATCGCGAAGACGTTTCCAAACTTGGTGCTTCTTAATGTATCCTTATCAACGTCCACGTATCCGGCATCGTTTACCAAATCTTTGCATGTCCTCAACACATCGGGAGTGCTCATTGGAGGTGTTACATGCAACATAGAATACTGAAAAAAAAATATATTATTTTATTTCTTTCATAAATAATACTTTGTATAAATCTTTGACAAAAAAAAACTAGTCATAAAAAAATGATAATTTTAGATGCAATTATGGTTATTCGATTTAAAAAATATCTTTGTTTGTTCAAATAAAAGTAATTTCAAATATGTAATGTCATTCTGTTGATTAGTTATTGAAATCTTAAAAATACGCAACTTTGTTTATCAACTAAGTGATGCAATCGCACTGATTAGCGTATTTCCTTGTAATGCTAATTTTAAAAAACATCATTTAAATGTAAACACGCTCAAAACCTGACTAAAATATCTACATAAATGTACTACCTCCATGGTGGTCTTCTGTTCGGGTTTGTCTAGATTCTCGAAAACAGCTACCTTCTCGCTGGGTCTGACCTCGATCAAATTTGTTCTCAAATTCACATTGATGTTCCTCTCTTTGACGATCTTCCAGAGGGCATCCGCGTATTTCTTAACGCCAAAAAGCACAGGCAAAGAAGTGTTATAAATCACATTGGCTTTGTCACGCTTGCCCATCTATAAAAATAACGTATATTTAAAATTACGTTTTTTTTTATCATAGATAAATGCTAATCATCGATTGCGTGGCTTTAAAAATATTTTTAAATTCAAACATTGATATTCTGAATTGATAAATTCGGAATTTGTAAATTGGTTCGTTGGCTGAATAATAATGAGAAAACTTGCTTTTCTGAAGTAATGCTCGGAGATGTACATGACTTTTTGGGGAGCGCCCGGGCATTTCACCGGAGAATTCGGAAATGTAAAAATGGCATTGCCAGATTCAAACTGCTGCAGTGCTTCGTACGTTCTATCCACGTACTTTGGGGAGTAGTTAGAGCAGACGCCACTGTTCTTCATGGATAGTCCTTCGAGGACACCGGGAATCTGAAGAACAAATAAATATTTGAATTTCTAGTGTTCAGCGATTTGGAGCGCTTTCAACCTTGTCGTAATTCAACTGAAGCCCAACGCCGACGAGCATGTAATCATAATTGATTATGTCGCCGCTCTTTGTCTGGATCTGGTTGTTCTTTGGGTTAAACTCGGTTACGGAGTCCTTAAGCCACTTAGCATTCTTTGGCAGGACATCGCCCATCTTTCTGCCGGCATCCTTCAACTTTTTGATACCTCCACCTATCATAGTGAACATAGGCTGATAGTAGTGCATATCCGCAGGATCCACCACGATGATCTCATCCTTCTTCATGTTTTTCGCAAACTTGGCCGCAACGGCGCATCCTCCTGATCCGCCGCCAACCACCAACAGCTTGCAGCTAGAACATAAACATTTGCATGATTCATATTGGAAATGCAGTATGTTTACACAACTGATAACATTTCAAGAATTCGATAATAATTAGATTACTTGGAATAGATATAAGCAATAAAAGTTGCAGAATTTGATTGGATCCCCGAATATCAAACGAGCATTAAAAATATATTCATTTTAGTTTAGAGAAATCGTTATTACCATGCCATTTCGCAATGCGTGGCATTTCAAGGATTAAAGAATAATTGTAATAAAACAATTATTATGTTATGAATCGATTTATATTTAAATTTAAATAATGATGCGCATTCAAAATACCTGTGTTTGGCCAAAACGACATTACTTGTAGATAGGTGCCTCGGGTTGGAGTACCTTGCCAGGTTTCTGCTCAGCACCACCTTACTGAACATCTTCTTGCTTCTTTCTTTGCTACTGCTTTGGTTCTCGCGCGTTATTCCTATATTTGATACTTCGATCAAATGGGAAGTTTACAACTGGTGAAGGTCAAGTGCAACAAACACACACACACAGCACCTTGTATTCTAGCTATTTGAACTGCTCTCACGCACTGAATCTACGCTGCCAAGAACATCAACGAAAACGCCGGATTTTGGATTACGTTACGTAACGACGCAGCGTCGCGTATTGTACAACTCGATTGGATTAATACATTGTGTTAGTAACGTTGCTAATTAATCACACATTCGTGTTATCAATACACCGCATGCATATATGACTGTTGATTCAATGTATCACAAAACATACATGATTATTTCAATAGTACCGCTTGATTATTAAATTCTATTAGAACAATAAAAAGAAACTTATTGCTGGCATAAATGAAAATCCAAAGAGTATAAGTTCCATATCACAGTCAATAAATATCCTATCTGCTTTGTTCATAATAAATATGTTAGATAAGATCAGAAATCTTATTTTTAGTAGATATTCAGTTGGATATTCCTTGTTTTAGATATCATTATTTAATGAAACAATCATTTCTTTTTTCCTACTTCGAATTTATGTATTCCGTTCCGTTAAAATCAAATTAGTAACTTAAGCCATAATCCATTAATTATTATTATTTTGTACAACATTTAATGACAGTTATTCATTTAATTAATATATAGATATGAATAAACGTAAATTAGTTTACAATAAAAAAATAACTATAAAAGAACAAACGAACTCTTATAATCAAATGAGGAATTTTTATAATTTGTCAAATTTAAAATTGGCTTTGAATTATTACACGATTTTACTGCTCGTTCTATGTTTTTACATTTTTATGGTGTAATTAAATATTCTTAGAAATTTCGCATGTCTATTTTTGTTGCATATTTGTACAGTTGCAGATGTAATGATGGCCTTGTCTCTCAATTAACGTTGCTCACTGTATAAATGTAATGTTTCTAAATTTAAAGACAATTTCATTACTCAAACTATTTACTTCTCAGTTATAATGATAATTTATTTATATAATCAACATTTTTCGAGTATGCTTATGAAATATTAAAATAAAATCCCTTATTCTTCTGCGTTTTAAACATATTGTTTGATAACATATATGCAGCACCACCCTATGATATTTATTGGAGAAAGGATAAATTAAAAATGTATATCTAGGAACAATAGTTTATTGCAGTTAGCAGATTTTGTTTTTGCTGCATTTTGTCGACGTAAAATCCAAGATATTTTTAAATGATTTGCCCCAAATTCAGAGAATATTTGAATCATGTATCGAATTGGTAAATGTAAGTTGGCAACATTAAATAAATAAAAATGTTTATTGATTATCGAAAGTATTGTGTTGGCAACACTTGCAATTAAGTAATGAAATATGAAGAATTTGAATATAATCCAATTAATGAAAGGTCCAATTAAGCGAGTATCTAAAATGCACACTTTTGTCCTTTGTTTGTTAATTCTAACACACTATTTTTAGCGTACAATTCCAATGTTAAAACGTCTCCACTTATTGATTGGTTTTGGTTTTCGAGTGGGCGAGAATCGTCGTTCGTGTCAGATCGCTAGTGTTCGGTTCGGTTGAACTGTCACATTATCGTGGCTCGAGCTCAAATAAAGTATCGACTCCACCATTTTTGCGTGATAATTTCAGAGTTCGGTGAAGGTCTCCGTGAGAAGTTTTTTCGCCAGAAAAATCGAAAATAATGGCATCTCTCTGTGGAAAAGTGGCTCTCAACGTAGCCCGAAGGAACGCCCTGTGCGGCTCCAGGCGTTTCGCCACCAAAGGTTCGTAAGCGGGGAAAAATCCCGTCATTACGTAATTTTTCTATAGAATTTTCCTGGTTTGCGCTCCATTCGAGCTCATAAACAAATAATCGATGAACTCAATTCCGATTCTGGAGATTGCCTTCAGCAAAACTATTGCAGATGCTGCAAATGCAAACTTCCTATTTACATAACCTCAAATTGCATAAACATACTTTGTCTTGAAGTCCCAATGTATTAGATGGACCTCTTGCCTGGCATGTTATATAATAGTTTGTTATTCAATTGCAGTTACCATGGGTGATCCTGTGGAGCATTCCACTGGTTTGGAGAAGCGCGAGTACCTTTCCAAGATCGCTGGCAACGAGAACCCTTTCGATCTGAAGGTAATCAAGCGCGGAGCTGGTACCAAGGGTCAACCCAACGAAATCCCATCCGCCTTCGATGCCCGCCTCGTCGGCTGCATCTGCGAAGAGGAGGCCACCAACGTTACCTGGATGTGGCTGCATAAGGGACAACCCCGCAGGTGCGAGTGCGGACACTGGTTCAACCTCGTACAAAAGGCCCCATTGTAAATTGAAACATGTTGTGCGATCCGCAGACTAGACTAATTATTAGCCGTTTAATGAGAAACAAAATGTAATAATAAATTCTGTTTGTTCCACAGCCGCAGACTTTATTAACGCAATTTCCTTTGTAATTTATTTTTTTTGCGAAATAAAAAGAATTTATTGTTTTCCATGACACATTCATCTAAGGTATATTCAATTTTAAATTTATCTGAGTATTAAGCAAAAATCTAGTTTGCGCCCCCGCCTCAAGAAATGAAAGAGGTCAAATATTTAATTTGTCTCTTCTCAAGAAAACAATACTATTGCTTACACCTTTGGCGACCCCATGCACCCCCTTGCTGAAGCATTGATTATGATACCTTGTTAATAATGACTTTTGCAATACTCTAAAATTTGAAAACTGAGGAATCACATTTTTTTTATAGGTATATTTGGAAGTAATAAAACATTTATATAGTAAGTTATTAAAAAGTATTCTTATAAATATAACAAGGTATCCTCAAAGTTTACATATGGAATAGCCACCACATTTACAAAATATGGATCTAATAAAGGATTATTCAATGATAACAAATAAAATGAGTTAAGTTTCTTTAAACCAGTGCTTTTCAACTGGCTGCCGTGAAAGACATTTGTGTGCCACGACAATTTAAAAAAAAAACATTAATCCAGATATTTACTAATGAAGTCTAAAGCAAAAGTACTTAAGTGAGAAGTTGAAGTTTAACCACTAGTAACTTCGGAACGCTTTTGTATCCCAATTTCGTTCTTATTATAGCAGCGGTTTCCAACCTTTATGCTACTACGCCTCCCCGAATTTTTTTTCCGGGCCTCCCTTACCTTTTATTGTTTTAATAGATTAAATAAAATAGACACGTTTTATTTATTTGAAGATATATGAAGCGTGCCTCCTAGGTTGGAAACCGCTGTATTATAGTATAAGGATTTGTCAATGTCGTTCATTATTATTTTTTATAATCTTATCCATTCTACTTTTTAGGGTTAGATCAAATGTAACATAAGATTTGATATATGGAAATAGGTACAGGTATTATTAAATAAATGGTATTTAAATTATTTAAAACAAAAATACAAAGTTATAACGTTTTCTAAGATATAATAATCATGTATAATTTATAAAATTTCATTTCATCAACCATCTCTATATACATATACAAATAGAAATTTATTTTCGATAATTAGTAATAAACAATAATCATTTAAAATAAACTCAAGAGTATTAGTAATATGAAGAACTAAAAGAAAAAAAAATAAGTGAGAATACGCAAACTAAATAAACCCAATCTCATTACAAGCGTGTCATTTTGGTCGCAAGATTCAATCCTCTTTTAATTTAAATTTAGCATCCCCTCCTATAGTATTTCATCCTTGTAAATACATAAATATTTTTTTTATATATAGATATATAATATGCAATAGTTGAAAGCTCTGTGCAACCATAAAATACTTATTATAAAAAATAAATAATGCATCTATATTATACCGTAAACGAAAATCAAAGTACAAGAAACTCAATTCCAAGAAACATAAAAAATAGCATTATTTCTATGAAAATAAAATATATACATGTTTAATTGCTTCCAAAGCAACAAAATTAATTTATCTTGCAAAAAAAAATAATAATAATGAAAGCAAGAAAAAAACAAACGAAAACTGAGAATATTTTGATTGTAGACTTGACATTTAAATCACAAGAGTTTATCACCGATTAATACTTATTAACGAAATATAAATCCTCGAAGGAAAGAGAGAATCAAACATTAAAACGTTGGAATGTGCTCTCCCGAAAAACGGTTATTATAGTTTAAAAAAATCTCATATGAAAACTTACTACAAACAATTTAGTTTAATGTATGAGTAACCTCGTTACATTATTACCAAGACGACAGGCAGTTTTCGTTTCTTCTTCTTTTTTTTAACGGGTATTCAAATAACAAATTTCATGAGTCTTTCAGAATGATACTATATCTCCTAAGCCGCATTAATATTAGTATTTTATGCCGACGCATATTTTGATTTGATGCCTTTCACAGTTTCTCCATTACCATCCAATATTTGCTTTCCAGACGAGAAAAGCATATTTACATAAGTCAATGCTATTCATAGAACTTTGGCTGAAAAATAAATACATTATTATAATCAATAATTCCAATATATGTGTAGGCTTGTTTGAAGTGTAATTTCTTATCATTTTGTATATTATCTTTTAATTAATAAGTTTCAAAGGTAGATTGCAAAAAAGAGTGTGTTGTTTGGAGAAAATTCACTTTTATTTTAGATGTAATGTATGAAGTTTTTGTATGTTGTTATATGAAGAATATTGAGTAAAAAATATATTATTAATATGTATGATAAATTAATGTTAATGAAAGCAAAGAGTAATATTAGGATATAATTATAAATCAGTAAAAGTAGTTTCAAGACAGAATAATTTCAGAGGTAGTGTAAAACACTGGTTAATGGTTAATTTTGCAGTATTTTTCCTTATACATGTTGCCAGAGAGAGTTAGAAGTTTTGTAGAAGTAACTGTAACTCACCAAATCGTGTGATTCTACCGTTTTATTTGCCTCATCCTCATCATCAGTATCTTCCTCGCCCGAAGTATCGGCATTGTCTGCAATAAAAGCAAATACAAATATTAATATTAAATCAATTATAGAATTGCGAAATCACCAGATTTCATATTAGCTTCTACGTACTTCTGATATTATGATCGTTCGCCGTTTGTTTTTGGGCAGAGGTGAGCTCTTCATAACAGTGTAGACAAACTCTCAAGGGTTTTGAGCTCTGACTGGGCAGTAAATAACGTTTGCTCGAGCAGGGACCGCAAACTACAGCGCCACACTTACGGCAATGATGCTAAAACATAGACCAAATCCTATAAGATAATGCGTTTACAATATTAAAATATTTCTTACTCTTCTATTAACGAATGTGAATTGCGTTTTCCTACAATGCATACACGTGGAAGCATCACCATCCGGAACCCAGACAGCTGCGTGCTCCTCGACGGCCTTCTTACCACTCTTTCTGAGCAAGTCTTCAATGCACTTAGTGATGTGAGCCATCCACTCTTTCTTTTCGATGTTGGTGGCCGCAAAGACGGCGAACGATTTCGAGGCAGTCTTGATAAGCCAACCGTTACAACTTTCTGATGGAAAATAATAATGCAAGGATCAGTTTTGCGCATCGAATAAGAAAGAAATACACTCACGTGCATCGTCGTCTAAATTTTGTAGCTTGACTTCCTCCAGCGGAATTATATGCTGTTTATTGTACTTTTTCTTATTAATCACAATGTTGCCGTACACTAAAATATCGTTGAACAAGAAGAATTGTCTTGCCTTGCGTTTCTTTCTGCACATCTTCGTTAGTACACCTTCGCCAACTAGCACTCTTCCAGGCACCCCCAAAGGCTATACAAAGTTACATATAAACTATTATTTCACATATGTTTCACCTAATATTTTTTTATGTAACATTTATTCTTTAGTATTAAAATTGTATTGCATACCTGTCCAGAAGTACCGAAACAGCTTTCGACCATCGAAATTCTTCTCGTGTTCGCCTCGCTGTTTACTGAAAGTGAAGAATAATGAATTAAAAATATAAAAAAGGAAATTAATTAAGTGTGAGCAAAACCATCAACCGTTCAACTTCATGCTACACAATTTGCACTGGATCACTTTCACTTAATTTCCAGTTACTATTTAGAAATTAATTGAAAAAAAAAGTGTACTCATCACTCGTAATTTTTGAAAAAAACAAACAAAATAGATAGCTGTAATCCATTTGTATTAAATAATGTATTCTTCTTATGAAGAAAACTCTATAAATAGATTATACTAATGTATAATTTAAAACCCACATGAATGAATTTTAAATAAGCAATTGAACATTGAAATTCAATAAACATGCATACAGTATTTGGCAACATAGTAGTAATGGTCTAAACTTAATTTCTAGAAAACATATATATATATTACTCATCTAGTGTGGTGATTAATGAATGTCTGATAAGTCACAGAATTGTAATGATAAAAAGACTACTACTTTGTAGACCTTGAGAAATAACATATATCCATACAATGAAATCCTCACTCAATTTATAACAACAAAAATATTTAGTAAATATAAATGGGATAGTTATTCATTAAAGAAATTATGAATTGACCATTAGTCATAAACAACTAACATTATACTGTAGCATAAATGAATAAATATTTAGTATTATCATTCAAAGATAATATAAATTGTGATTTTAAAAATATCATTAAGGAATGAGATAAACAAAAGTCAAAAACAAGGAAAAATTGCTTTTGCAATATAATTTCCAAATAACAATTAATAAAATATACCTTCAATGTTGATTTGTGTCATGTCGACTCAGTGTTAACTATTTTATTTCTCTCACTTGATTATACCCAAAATGTAAAAAGCACAATTAAACAGCTGTATTGAGACTGTTTGGTTTAGCACAGTATTTGATACTGACCCATTTCACTTTTTCCCCACCCTGGAAGCAATTTTTTTTTACAACTGTTGTGCTTGCATACAGTGTCTTCTAGAAAGTGGTGAGCAATATGAGTGAATCAAGTAATAATCACAAGCTGTTCCAATTAAAGCAAAACCACAACTTAATATCTGCATATAGTTTGATAACAATAAATAGGAGTCGAACAATTCAGCAGCAAAAATTGAATAGGAACTCACCCAATCGATCAACCATTCTGCTGGCTCTATGTGTCTTTCAGTATACCTCTAGATTGCACTTGCACTCCCACAGGTCAAAAAAAAAGTCAAAACAAAACTAAAACAATAAGAACACAAAAAAGTGTTTGTTACAACAAGAATTTATGCTGTGATGATTTGATCTATTTGTCATATGACAAGTTGATAAATTCAGTGAGACTAATCTACCAATAGGAGGCGCCCTAATCCAAATATCATTAAATATCTTACAATTACATTAATCTTCTAAAATTATAGTTTAATTATTAAAAAATCTCATATTATATTGAATTAATCTAATTTTGTTACAAGGTTTTCTCCAAATTAAATCATAATAGTGAATACATCTATCACAAGATGTCATTTTATAGAATAATGTTGTTATGCCCTTGCCACATTCTTCAATCACTATATAGTAATATCAACATTTATCATAATCCATTATTTTTTACAACTTATTTCAACTATATTGGTAATTTAACGACAAATGTATAGTAATTTTTTTTATGCAACCAACATTGTCTCTAAATTGAAAATGATATATTAAATCAGCTGTGTATCTCATTTTTTACTGTTATATAAAAATTTAAATGGTATTTAAAAACTAAGATTGTTGTAAATACAACTGGGTTGATAATTTATTTACATTTTACATTCTCATTTAAAAGTTAAACTACAATCTGGAAATTGCAACAATCTACCACATCCATATATAACGTGAGCCGTATTTGGCTGGAGGCAACTCTGCATCCTCTGGAAGGTATGGATTGCGGTCTGGATATTCTGGCTTGGGCTCTGGCACAGGCTTTGGGCGATTCGTTTTATGGATGTGCGTACGAGCAAAGTAATCATGAGGGGGACGCTCCATGTTCAAGTTGTCCTGCATGCATTTATCAAAGACACCTTGGGTCTTACGACACCTATAATGATCTAAAATTAGTATACTTTGATTAGTTTCGATATAATATGGTACTAACGGAGAGAACGCCTGGTTAGTGCTGGATTTGTCCAAACAATTAACGTATTGCATGAACTCGCCATAGCAAGACTTCTTGATGTCTTTGAAAAAATTCATGGCACAATTGGTGACCTCCTTGCCTTCCTTGATGCAGGCCCTAGGATCGCCCGTCTCGTTGCGGCAAAGGACGAATTCCTGCAGACAGAACACATATTTGTTTTCTGTATTCTGTGATTAGATAATTAACCTCACATTATTCTGATATTCGCAACGCTTCCCCAAGTGCATGGCACCGGCCTTCAGAACCGGACCAGACACCTCGATCTCCTTCACCGTCAGCTCCTCCTGAGTCGGCATATACTCATTCGCCGTAATACTCATCTTTTCACTAATATTATTCCGCAAAATAATTCTTATTTATGTTCCACAATCCACAACTCCACCAAAGGTGACAGCTGTCAATTCACATGTCAAATGTCATAATTAGAGATGGTTCCCATTTTGTTTTTAAATTTAAATATTTAACATTTTATAATAAATTTTATAAAAGCAAAATATATATAATTATATAATCATAATAACTAATTAATTTACATAGGGCTATGGACATAGGTCTTTCCACCCTATACTTTAAAATCAATAAATGTAAAAACTAATGTATATACAGGGGAATCTCGCTTAACGAGTTTAAATCGTTCCAAAATTTCCGGATTTTTACTCGTATAGTGAAACATATTCAAAAATACACATAAACACGTTTTAAAAATGATGTAGGGGCGCAATCTGGGACTTCTCTTCTCATCGTCACTCGTTATTCGAAACGTCGCTCGTTAAGCGAGTCATTTATCTTACAATTCATTTTGCTTGTTAAGCAAAACGCTCGTTATGCGAGGTTCCACTGTACATTGTTATTTTTAAGATTTAACGAATTTATTACTATCTAATGTTCATAACATAAAGCAAAACAAATCAAATTTTCAAAAAAATAATAGAAATTACAGATAATTATTGTAATTACTACACATTAAACTTATAGAAATGCAATGATAAACAGATATTTTTGTTCAATTTAAAAAATAACAACATTGTAATGTTAATTAGAAAAGGATTATTGCGTATTCATTTATCAGCACTATAATGTTTTAACTAATTATAAAATTTGTTAACAGTAAACTTAAGGATAGTATATAAAAATATTATTATAACTTACTTTTAAAGTCAGAAGTTTACTTGTTTTGATAAATTAAGTACATATTCAACAGATACATTTTCTGGGTGTTCAGTAAAAGTGCGTATGAGGAGTCACTAAGCGAATGGTCGAACCACCAAAGAAAGTGTAATAAAATTTGAAACCAATTTATATCGAACAATCGAATTTGCGGGTGAAGGAAATTGGAAACAAATGGAATATCGTAAATCGAATTGTTGTAATATTTTTCAGCAAGTAAGTAAGCAGAACATGTCGGTTTTAATTGGACGGGAGGGCAGCATGTCAGATCCTATTAAATAAAGCTCGCCAGTGGTGGCCAGAGTTGCTGATTTCATTATCGTGCCTCTAATAACCCGCCAAATGGGCTTGTAATCCACTTACTATTTTCGAATAACTTTACCTACTATATAAACCCCACGTTCCAAAGCCAAACCATCACACACTCATCTCAGCTTTCATCAAGCAAACAACAACAACAAACCAACAAAATCGGTAAGTTCACCTCTTTCAATTATATAAATATAAACAATATCTCTTCAATCGTAATCGTAACAGCAATGGAAGCCAAATTCGCCAAACTCTTCGTTTTCGTCTTCTTGGCCCTGACCATGGGCAACTTATTTTTGGATGTTGAAGCCACCTACAGGAAGCCCCCTTTCAATGGTTCCATTTTCGGAAAGCGCGGTAACATCGGTAAGTCAACATATTCAGTTAATTTATTAAATCTACAAATGTTTCAAATGTCTTGTCTGCTTTCAGAATACGATTCCGCCGGAAAGGCTTTGTCCGCTATGTGTGAGATCGCCAGTGAGGCTTGCCAGGCCTGGTTCCCTCTCCAAGAAAAGTAGATCTTCTAAAAACAATGCAAAACTTATTATAATCAACCGCTTAATGTATAACTGTATCGATTATGAATAAATAAAATTAACAACATATAAACATTATGAATTTTATACCTATACTTACCTAAATCAGAACTATAAGTTAATACAAACTCTTGTTTTAAATATCACCGTTAACTAACATATGCATACAAAAATATTAAGTTTATATATTTTTTAAATGAATATTCAAATAAGCATAATAATTTTATAAATATGCGAATAGTGTTGCTATTATTATTGTATTGTATATTTCTTATACAATACTCAAAATTAAAAAATAAAATTAAAATTTTCAAAGTTTTCCAAAAGAAAGAAAAAGAAACAGGTTTTTTGTGATTTTTAAATGAACTGTTTTGGTCGATCAATTCCTAATTAGCAATCTTTATTTGTATTTGAAAAATATGTTTATTCTCAGATATAACTTAAAGTAATCAACAGTTGCCAGGCTATCTTGGACTATCTGGAAATAATTTAACATAGGACAAACAATAAACATCGCATCGAACTGTCAGATACATGTATATTGTGTTATCTAAGCACTATGTTTGTGTCAGTATATGGAGTATATGGTTGGAATTCATTTGAGAAAGTAATAAAAATGTATGATTTTGATAATAAGTAAACATTAAGTGCTCCAAATGGAATGTGTGTAATTTCAACATTAATCATCATCATCAACCCTAGTTATGTTATTGTGTCAATTTGGACAACAAAAATATATGCATTAAGTAAATACATGTACCAACAAATAAATTCCTTTGTGATAGTACAATGTCTGAACAAGATATTAGAAATGCAGCAGAAGAAATGCTCCGATCAAATGAATATTATACCAATCAAACTGCAGGTGATATATGTAAGTTTTTAGTAACATAAAATCAGGATATTTCTAACTCTTTGTTTGCAGCACATTCCCACAGTATCAACACAATCACTTCTGTGAGACCTGAATATATAATATCACCAGAATTCTTTACAGGACAAGCACTGAATGGACGAATGTCCAGTGTGCGAAGGTTTTTTTGTTTATTTGTTACTTTCGATTTACTCTTTACTATTCTAATGTGGCTTATTTGTATTATGGTGAGTTCTCTGAAGCATGTTTTAATAATTTAATAACTTCATTTTGTAGCTGAATGGTGACAATATATTATCAGCATTATCTAAGCAGATCTACCATTATGATGTACACACATCATTGTTTGATGTTATTTTGCTGGCAATCTTTAGGTTTATAGTGCTCTTGTTCTTTTATGCTGTTCTCTATGTTAACTCTTGGGTGGTGATTGCTGTAAGTGTGTCCTAATTGGTAAAATAAATTATTAATATTACTAGTTCTTTATGACAGATTTCCACAGCAACAACTTGTGCTCTTCTGATTGCAAAAGTATTTGTCTATGATGTAAGTTTCGTTATTAAATGCTGATTCAATCAAACGATTGTTTAATATTTGCAAACACAGTTTCAGACAACAAACCAACCTGTGTTCCAAGTACTCCTGGTCTTGATATCATTCGTGCTTTCATGGGGTGAAGCCTGGTTTCTAGACTTTCGAGTAATTCCACGAGAATTCGACGCTCGTCAATACGTAATCGGTGAGTTTCTCAAAATCAAGAAACAAGCTTTCAAGCAGTATGTCAATATTGTTGAATTAATGTATAGCGTCTACCGATAATGAGCGGTCGCCATTGATCCGGAATTATGTCCATGGATATCCATCGATGTATACTGATAGTGTTGCCAATTTCTACTCGCCCTTGGGGTCCAGGGAAGGTTCTCTGCAAGGCTTCGAAGCCATTCCAAGATTGCGCAAATTTCCACCTATACGATTAACGGATGATCAGGTAAATAACAAAGACTATTTTTTAATAGATACTAAGTGGGGTACGTTTGCAGGAAAAGAATTATTGTGATTTGGGTGCAAAGGTCCTGGTCGAATCATGGGAAATGTTGAATAGCGATGAATGGAAGTGTATTAAAGAGTTTCACAACGACGTAATCGAAGTAATGGAATTGTCAAAGGTCGGAAAGATCTTCAAGTTGACTGTGTGTAATTTAAAGATGTGAAGTGGGCGTAGTTGATAGTTTATTGTATTTTAGGGTGTGGTGAAGAATACAGCTCGTTGCCTATTGGACGAGTTGTTTTATCGCGTCGAGAATATACCAAAATGGAATCCTGCTTTGCTGGATTCGCACAAGGTGCAGACCATAGATGAGAATACAGACATATGCTACCAGGTATCCGCGGAAGGGGCTCGTGGTGCCGTCTCAAGCAGAGATTTCGTTACCCTTCGCCATTGGGGCCTTATAGAAGATACCTACCTAATTGCCTGCGTCGCCACCGAACATCCATCAGTGCCTTCAAACGATAAATATATTAGGTAAACAGTTCAAAATAAGTATTAACATTAAATAAAAATGGTAAATTTTAGAGGTGAAAACGGCGTAGGTTGCCTAGCTATGAGACCACTGAAAAGTGATAAAGACAAGAGCCAGTTCCAATGGGTCTTCAATACGAATCTAAAAGGTTGGTTACCGCAGTACATATTGGACACAGCCTATGTGTCAATGATGTTCGATTACATCAAAAATTTAAGGGCTTACGTGGAGCAGTCGACGAACGTCAAGGGAACATGACTTATCTACGTTTTAAACAAGACTTTTCTCTCTCAATTCGGTCCATATAGAATATAAAAATATTACTAAGGTTTAATCTGTGATTCATCCCGAAACAAAAATGTAATATCGATTTATAATATATTTCTCATTTTAGTGTATACATAATGAATTTAACTCTAGATGTTCTATATATATATATAATTTATAATCAAGTTGCTTTTAATTTTTACTGTGATTAAGTTTCAGATTCAATAATTATTTTTACAAATTATGTCCTTTATGGTAATAAAATGTTCTATTGTATACAATAAGAAATTAAATAAAAATATATAAATTGATAAGATTTTAATTTTATCGTGTATTTTAATTTGTTCATGATTGCAATTATTGTTATTTTACTGTTATTAGAGATTATTATTAAATTTAGTTTAATCATCAAACACAATTTTTCATAATTTCTGTTATATATTGATATCAATTTCATACAATATTTCATATGCATATACGCCTCTTATCAATAATATTAATAATGGTAATAACAATTAAAAATCACATCTTTTGTCCTCTTCAAAAACCGTTTCATACATTTCTTTCGCGTTCATACTTTAACTGCAACTAAAATAAAATCCACTACTTAATAAACTGACATTGTTTGTACCTGAAAGGTTTGCATATTACAAAACTAAATAAAAAATAGTTGAAGTTCAATGAAATATAAATGTTGAAGTATAAGATAAGACTGCACCCTTAGCGGGCTAATTGGATGATCAAAGATGCGCACATCTCGAAGAACTCCATCGTGTGGTGCCCGACGGACGTGTTGGGATTTGTCAATCCGCTCAAAACAGGAGTGGGCATCGAAGTGCCTAACTGACTGGGATCCGTTTCGTCATTCGATAAACTTTTAAAATCTAACAAAAAACTTTTGCTGTCCACCTGAAAATTATCATGAATAAAAGAATTATCATTTAAGTTTATATTAAAATGGGGTTTATATTAACCTGGTACAATTGTAAGGACATCTTCACGTATTTGTCGTGAAACTTGCTCTTTTCTCTCACCCGTACTTGGTAAGGATTGACGACTTTCCACTCAAAACCCAAAGCTTGCATAGCTCGATATACCTCCATCATAATATCATTCGGTTTGCTCTGTGAACGGATGCCTAGATGCCACTTGGCCCTCTTCACTGGAGAGTTCCTTAAAAGTATGCACATCAACTCTTCATATATTAGCAAGGCTGGATAAGCCTAAATATCATTATTACGAAACAACATTACCTCGGCCTCTTTCGCCGGTTGCTGCGTGGCTCGAAGCAATCACTCTATCCCTTAAGGGTGCAATTCGCTCCGGATGAGGTTTCATCGGACTAGAACCGAAGTCTGCTGGACTGGGACTCATGCTCACAGGAGGTGGGCTTCCTGCTACATAAAAGTCTTTAATATCAGCCTTCGCGGCTTCGTCTGCAATTCTCTTGTTATCGATGATCAAATGATAGGCTATTGCCAACTGGTCGTGGGCGTCACCGCTTAGCAGGGCATTGTGAACCTCTCCTGGCTGTACACCGAACTTGTCGCACACTTCGGATACAGCCTTTCTGTCAATCACATTCGAATCTTGTTCAACGGGCGATGGGAATAAATAACCAGGGCAATCCTTTTGGAACCAGTCATGCTTTTTTATGTCCTCTATAGAAGCCCGCTTCATAGGATCGATCTGTAGCATCTGGCAAAGCAAGTTTACCACACTCTTGTTCAGATACTCCGGAATCGGGAATATACCGGACTTGATCTTTTTGAACAAAGTGGGCACGTGTTCATCGTCGAATGGTAAAGTTCCACACAAGAGCGCATACAAAATTACACCGCAACTCCAAATATCAACTTCAGGTCCGGCGTACAATTTCCCAGAAATGACCTTAAAATTTATATTATATTATTATTATTTATATTTATATAAAACTATCAATTTTAGAAATGTCTATAAAGATCTTATTTAAAGAATATTTATGAAATAATTACTTCAGGAGCTGCATAATTTGGTGATCCACAACTAGTCCTCAAGAATTCTCCATCCATCATCATATTGGATAATCCAAAATCAGCAATTTTTACATGCATATTGTGATCCAGCAAAAGGTTCTCAGGTTTAAGATCCCTGTGTACAATCATATGGCGATGACAATAGTCTACTCCTGATATAATTTGCTGAAAGAATCTCCTGGCCTCATGCTCTTGAAGCTTTCCATTTTTGACAATATACTCAAAGAGTTCTCCACCAGAGACATACTCCATAATCATGAAGATATCAGTGGGTGTGCTTATCACCTGGTACAGCTTGATGATGTGTGGGTGCCTAAACAACTTGAGATTTTGGATCTCCCTGCGGATCTTGCTCACCACATCCAGACTTTTGATCTTTTGTCTGTTGAGGATCTTCACAGCAACCTTGTGCTTAGTCATCTGGTGTTCTCCTATTTTGACTTTTCCAAAGGTGCCTACTCCAAGAGTTTGTCCCAAATTATAATGACCTATCCTGTACAGTGGCTGGACGCCTCCGTCGCTGCTACTGCTGTTCCTCTCCCCCATGGCTGCTACTAGAACTCCTTGGTGTCGTCAGACGAAGGCACCAACACCTTATATTTTATCCTACGCTTATATAATTTAAATGCACTACACTATTACGAACATACATTTGATAGAAATTTAACACTTTACGATGATAATTATATAAGTAAACAAACGTTTCTAGGCTTTAGATATTATTGCGCATTACTAATGAATCTTGTTTGACACATATTTTTGCAACTATTGTCAGATGTTTTCAAAACAATACGACCAACCTACATAAAGTTTTACCAACATAAGTTACGTACTTTTAAGATAATTACTAAATTATACATTTTTTGTTGCTTTATGCACGTTTATTGATAATTATAATATCTTTTTTATTATGCGTTTATAATATTTTAAACTCTTGGAAGATACACAAACGAAAAAATATAATAATTACATACATATTGGACGTTTGACAGCATTTGACAGTTCTTCTGATTTCTTCAGTCAGATGGTGTTGTGTTATTGTTTATTTTTATGATTGAGTTCGGCGATATTATCAAAATTCCTCGTAAGAAAATACGTTGTAAATAAAATACATTTGAATATGTGAGGTAAAGATTCGAAATTACTATGCGCTGTTCGTTGACGAAAAATGTCGGCTTCTTCATTGTGTTCCTGAACGTCGTACTAGTTTATTACACCTGGAAAACGTTTAATTCGTATGAACCCTTGAAATCGAAACTATTTGAGACGAAAGCAGTCAAAAGCATTATAAGCAAGTCGTCTATAAATCATGTCAGTAAATCGACGACGGTAGTAATACGTGACTTTGAGCTGCATGAGAATGATGTCAGTGCAACTGTTCAGTCCTTTATCAAAGTCTTTCCTAACATACAGATAATAATTTTATCCAGGGGGTTACCATATCCTCCATTACAGTTTCATGGCAATGAGACTGTTAGGAATGTTAAGGTTATCAATTTAGCAGCAAAATTTGATGTTCCCTACCAAAGCAATCCATTGAGTTTGATCAAGACCAACTATGTGCTGTTTGTGCCTGATTCTAGTAGAATCCTGCATCGACAGTACATCCAGACTATGATAAACCATTTGAACAGTGGAGAAAAAATGGTTGCTGTTGGTTACTCACAGAGCAAAAATCTGACTTGTTTGCAAGCTAACTTGACACTAAGGGAGTGGAGTCTTAAATTTAAAACTGTTAAGGATGATTGTGATTTTGTTCAAGGGAAACATGCTATGATGATTGATTTAGGTACATTGAACAAATTAAATGATCCATTCCTTTTGCCATCACCACATTCTATTTATTTGCAAACAACATATTTTAAATTAAAGGTAAGATCAAAAGATTTAATAACATGACTTAATAAAAATATATATTAATTACATTTTTAATTACTTATTTTGTAGGTAAAGATTTTGTATGGTATACAATTTCAAGATGGGAAACCTTTATTTCACTCGCATCATTCACAAAAATTGAAAATAAAATCCGATCAGGATAAATTTAAGAAGTTGTACCAGAGATTTAACGTAAAGAGGGTGCGTAAAGAGAATGGGATGGTGGAGAATTATGGGTGCAATCGAGATACTGCTAGATGTTTCGGGTCTATTATTAATTATACGCCCTCTTATATCTACGAGAATAAAACTATGCCCCCTTGTTGTTTGGCCAATCTTCGAAGGACTGCTCAACACGTGTTTAATACACTGCATGAATCCGGTATACGTCATTGGTTGGAGATTGGTAGTCTGATCGGGGCAATGCGAACGGGAGACGTGATACCGTGGGATTTCGACGTTGACATTGGATTCAATAGGGACGATCTAGCACGGTGCACGTGGTTGAAGAGGGCGTCCTCGAAGCCTATCGTAGACGCAAAGGGTTTTCTCTGGGAACGAGCAACTGAGGGCAACTTTTATCGCGTGCATTTCAGTAAAGCTAATCGCGTTCATGTGAATCTGTTGCCGTTCTATGCGCGCAACGGGAGCATGTTGAAGGATGCATGGTTCACAAGTATGGGAATGGACTTTCCTGAGCACTTTTTGCATCCCATGTCCAGCATTGAATTCCTCGGCCGCCAGGTGCCCAGTCCCAATAATATTCGTGACTTCCTGGAGCTTAAGTTCGGGCGGGGCATTGTTGAGAACGCCCACTATCCTGATTTCAAATTTAAATTCACATAGGCTCAAATAATTAATTAAGTATTATTACGTTGACATGATATTACTTTCAGTATTACATTATCCCGAATTTGAATGAATAGTAGACTGTTATTTATAAGCTCGTCGCTGACACAATCATTCACAGTCTTTGTACGTCTCTTGATGATGATGGTCTGACTTTTATTTTATAAGTTGTTAGGTGAAGATTGTTGCTCTATCAGCGAAGATTTTAGATCGTCGTAACTAAATCCACGCCACACAAATAGAAAATAAAGTCTACTGAGGTTATGCCAACAATATTATTTATTTCCTAAAAGGCAAAACTAACTCACGGACAAATATATATTTCTAGTCATTATTGTGATAATTTTATTTATTTTTTGTTTGTATATTTTTGATGATTTTATATTATAAGTTTTACGCTCCTTTCGTTCTTCCAATACTTGTTTGTGCCAACTATCGTTGTTATATAGTGCTTAAAGATAAAACAGAAATGTATGAACTTAATTAATAAACGAAAACTTTAAGTGATTCTTTACGATTTATCCGACACCGAGATATCGGTGTGAACAGCCAGCACCGAAGGTTCACGAACCAAAGCCAGAAGTCTGTCGAGTTTCATGCACTGGAGGGTCCACTGGTCTAAGTGCTGCTGCTTCTTTGGAGGTTTGCAAGGAACACGTAAATTCGGTGATAATTTAACGCAGGTCACCATTCCCCTTTTAAAATGTATTATAATTATGTTAAATTATATAAGAACAATAATCCCATGCCAATAGAAAGCTTAGCTCTGATACATATTTTCAAATTAAAGGTGCAATTGGCGAGAGATTATTTGTTTATTTAAAAGATCTTACTTATCATCCCCTACTATGACAATAGGCATGTTGTAATTGAAGGCAATAGTTGTCAGTTTGTTACGTTTTTTGGAAACTACGGCTTGAGTGCAGATGGGTTTATATTTATTCACGTTCAAATCGTACACGTACACTTTGCCTTCAGCGGTGACAGCTCCAAAGACGGTGGAAGAATAAGGTGCCCATTCGACGTCCATCACACTCGCACCTAGATCAAAAACAAAGAGGGGATCTCTAAAACGAAAAAGTAAAGAAAAAATCGAATGTAATTGGACATTATATGTACGCTCTATTGTCCTCCCAAATTTTGATGCGCCAATCACCGCTGCACGAAATGAACACAGATGAGTTATACTTGTTGTAATGTATCTTGTAGACAGGCATTGTGTGTGCTTGGTAAGTCATCAAGTATTGTGCGTTGTAGTTAATACTGCATTTGTAGATGAGTCCCTCCTCGGTTCCCACCATGTATACGATAGGATTACTCGGATGTAAGACGATGTACGTAGCGCAAGCTAAAGAAGTATCAAAATGCTTATAAGATAATCAACATTTATTTGATAAACTACCTTTCAACTTTACTAATGTTCCATCTGGTCCAGCAGCAGCATCCCTATCTAAATATAAGTTGATGATGGTCGTTAGCGAAAGTTCTGTTTGCATCAGTACGTAATTGTTCACTTTTCCATCGTTGCTTACTGAGTAGAAGTTCAGTTCGCCATCAGGTAAATCTGGCACCCATTTAATCTAAGCGCATTCAAGTTGGAAATTACGTCAACAATAATCAAATTTACTGGCTTACCGCCCATATGATTCCACTGTGTTTAGTTTCGTGGGATTTAGTCATGTAAGCTGGTTGCTTTGCTGACGCTTGAATGTTGTACACTTGGATGTTACCATCGAACATGCCGCAAACCATCATGTAAGGATATTTCGGATGAATGTCGGAGCACATCACTGCTGACTCAGTGAGGCATATGGTTTCCGGATAAGACGGATTCTTGATAGTGAATAAACAAATGAAACCTTCCGTTAAAGGCTTCAGGAATTCCACTGAAGAAAACATACAAACATATATCCAAACGAATTGAAATACTTGATATACACATACAATACCCAAAACACACAATGAACAGATCATAGTACCAAGGGTTCCAGCATATATGAGTCACGGTGTGCTTCTTTGTTTTATCGTACGAATATTTCCACAATGGTAATAACGTTCCTTCTTCCTCCCTAAATTCATCTGAAGGATCCTCCCAATATCTGTAATCTGTATTCAACTCATTATTCGATCAAGTTCAAGTATGTAAGTCAAGGGAAGAGTGTCTAATCTGTAGAATTGAAAATAGCAAAGTGAATTGAATAACTACTACTATCAGCTATTTTTGAAAGACATTAGTTTATGTTTAACCTTTAGCAATTTCATCGTAGGTATTCAAATTGATCATCCTTTCCAACACTTTCCAACACTCAAAAATCCTCATTTCCTGTTCTTCACTGAATCCCTTCTTAACAGGCAACTTCTTTTTCGATTTCCGAGGCGGTCCCAAGTATTTGGAGACGGGAGCTTTGTCCTTTTCCTTACGCTCGCGCTCACGCTCTTTTTCCTCTAGTTGTTCAGCGTAGTCGATCTGGTAAGAATCATAAATGATCCATTGGAGCACGTTACCGGAAAACGTCTTCACCGGCGGCGGTGTGGTCTGAGTTTCCTGCATGCGAGGTGGTTGTGTGTATGTGAGTGCAGCCCTCTCGCAGAAGTTAAACTGATTGGTTAGCTTCTTCGCTGAAACAGGTTTGATCTCTTCTTCCTCTTCCTTCTTCTCTTCATCTGCCTTCTCCTCGACAGGAGCTTCGACGCCTTCAGATTCACCAACATCTTCTTGTTCTGCTGGTGCCTCCTCATCTTTCTCCTTATCCTTGTCCTCGAACTCTTCACTGCCGATAGGAGTGAAAATCAAAGATTTATACACGTTCAACATGCCTCCGTCTTCCCCGTCAGTGCCGGCTATTATAGCCTTCGCTTCTTCCGTATCCCTATGGATTATTGTACCTCTGCACTCGTATGCTACTATATAGTTAGTAACCTGAGGAACAGGTATAAACGACTTCTCTACATAACTGAATTCAACGATATTATTAGGAATTTGATTGTTTGTCATCACCAAAGTACGTCCTACCAACTCTTTCAATTCCTAGAAGATATACTACATTTAAATCTACGTCTGTGTTTGGAAAACCTGAATATTTATACAAAGTCTTGCAGCTCAATTTGATCTTTCGGCTTTAGTAATTGCTTTGACTTTTTCCATTCCTCTAAATCATCATCCACCTCAACGCGATTCGGACTTGCCACTTTTTTCTTCTACAAAATATTTATATTTGATTATTTATGAATTAAATTATGATTATCTCTAACCTTGGTTGCAGGTTTGGGAGGCATCGTTTAGTATTAAATATAATACAATTCAGTTACAAATCGCACAAAACTTATAGTTAAACTAACTGGAAAGTAACACACTGACAGTATAAATGATATCAGGTGTTTAAGTTACCATGGAGATCATCGATGAAACAAGGAAATATAGTGATTTCTGGATTACAATGCAGTTATATTCTTTATTATTATTTTTTAAATAAACGAAAATTGATTTCGTTACGTTCAGAAACATTTAAAATATAATATTATATTTAAATAAATATAAAATAAAAGAGAGGAATTTTTGAAAGGACACTTTGACAAATCCATTGTTTTCTAAATTTTCGTTAGATGTGATGTGATAATTGCATTGATATAATATCGTGCTTGATGAAAGTTCTTCTTTTCTTTAACATTAATTAAATTAAAATGCGGAGAATACTGGAAGCCCACATTCCATCTCACGCCTCGATCAATTTGTACCAATGTGATAATGCATCGTTATTGAAATTGAAGCGAAGAAAAATGTGAACTGCGCGCGGCCCATATCGATTTTCCTACGCTGTACAGGCAAGATGGTTCCGTCACCAACAGCCATTCCGAATACAACTAGAATATAATCGTAGAATATAGAGAAAAACGGCTGATTTTATTGTGACAAATTGAAGCATCATATTAATAGCAGAAAAACTGATGTTAAGTGATGGAAGACAGTGGTATAGATAGCGGCGATCACAATGGTGCAGAACAACATGTTAAGAGTAAGCCGATTCAGGATGGCCACAGATTTCCAGTGAGTTGTTAGGGGACTTGAAAATTATGCGTTGTTATGAAATATTTTGTTTTTATTTGTTTGCTTTAATTTCTTGTAGAACAGTGACAGTTCGAGCGCTGATAGCGGGAGATCGCCTGGACCTACTTCTAGACAGCTGCAGAAGAGGTTGGAGGCGCGTATTGAACATGCCAGAAGATTACATCAGGAGTACAGCTCTACCTCTGGACTAATACCCATCCAACGACTGACGATTCCGGGGGCCAAAGATCAGCAACCCTTAGTCCAATGGGATACTGATGATAGGTAACATAAATAAATATGGTAGTGACGAATACGATTATAGAATTTGTAGCGAAGAGGATATTGTGAACTTCTTTCCGTTGTCGCGTAAAGAGTCACGTGTACATCAGGAGCTGACTGATACCTTCAGCATCGAAGAGATGAGCATATCAGGAGATGATGAGGAAGAGGAGGATCTACACCTGGTGCCACCGCAGACGGTATACAAGAAGTTTGCGTGCTGTTCCTTTACCCTTTGTGTTATCCTTTAAATTAAACGCACACGAACACAGATGTAAACAACTGGTGGAAATACCTAAAGAAAAAATATACATGCAATATAAGAATTTGAAAATATAACAGGAAGATGCAGTCAATTATATCAGAACCTTAAATTAAGTTGTGGCAATATGCGATGGATGTTATGGATTTGTATTTTTTATACGATTTGTAAGACCGACACCACACTTGTAAAATTGCATAAGATGGAGATGGATCGGGATAACGCCGATATCTTTAATGAATGAATCGAGTTAAATTGAATCTATAGAAATATATAAATTATATTATATTTATTATTATCGTGCAATGTTGTTGTTTGTGCCAAAAAATAAAATTACCTAATAAATATATATATATGATATCGAAATTACTATTTTTTTTTTGTTTGAATTTACAATTGTAAGAGATGATATTATTTCTTCAAGATACGCAGATAGTTTTAAAGATTTAAATTATTTATGCGATAAATTTTTTCATAACGGATTTTTTACTGTCAGCATTCTTATACTGTGTAACAAATGCATTAATAAATCATTTTTGGACAATCCATAATCTTATAGTCGTCTTAAATCTAAAAAATCTTTATTAGAAATATTATTGGATTGATTTTGATTTTGGTAGTTTAAAAAATTAGAAAACAAAGTTTTTCTAATGTCTTTCTACATTAAATCAATTCGAACTTGGGCTTAATACGTCGGATAATCATAAGGAGTATATTTTGTATTGCAATTTGTGGTATCTATATACTAAAACTAGTGATTTGCAACGCTTCAGCCTGTTTGTGGTTTCACTGTTATCGAGTAGGCAAATAGCCAGAACATTAGTATGTGACTCCGTCTATCTTGGTATCTACTACTAAACGGTGTATTTGTTTATTCTTAACGAACCCTGATAATAATTCTTAGGCATTTTGATTGGAACCTTTGTATAATTTGTATGTTCGATTTGCTGGCTACATCCTACAATTGCATACCATACTGATTTCAGAATTATTTTGTATATAAGTAATTTATTTTCCATTGATAATTTCCTAGAAGTCAATTTTCTCCATTTTATTTGTAATTGCTCCTTCTTAACCTGAATGTGGTCTGTCCAGGTAAGTCTTCTATGCAATTAAGTCAATTTAAAAGATAAATATTATGTTGTTTTGGATTCGCCGCAATGACAAATCACGCCGCTTTTCCTTTGACTTTGAAGGCTGATAGTGAACCAGGCGCATCCACACAGTTAGTCTGTCCTTAAGAAATTGTGTACACACACTCAACTTTGAAAAATATAATGATTTTTTTATATTTCATTATTGTTATTACTTTATTTTAATTTATATTAACTTATATTCATTAAATCAAATGTTTTTTTTTATCACACTCGAATTGCCATAAAATGCGAATTCTCTAATTAATATTTATAATTATGTAAGTCCATAATATTTTTATTGATGTATAGAAGTGATACTGAATAGATTCTACGAATTAGCTTAGTTTATCTAAGAAAAATTGCATTTGATGTTTTCTTTCTTTTTGATTAGTTGATGGTAGTTGATTAGCGAATTATGAGCACGGGTTCAAATTCGGTGCTTGCAGCAAGAGCTTTGTTCTAAAGGTTGACAAAGAGGAACGTCTAAGTCAAGTGCAAGATGTGGATGTATTGTTATATTGAAGTTTAATTGACGGAAATGTATGTAAATAGTAGCAGGAAATGATTTGATTATAATTGGATAATGAATACATAACTGATTCGGAACACGAATGAAAATAAGAATTTTGAAAAGTAATGGAATGTTTTTAGAAAAGTTTGGTATTGAAGGCAGACGAAGAGGAACAAAGTTGAGCGTGGATTGTACTACGTACACAAGAACGCATGCACGTGAAAGAAGTAGGAAAGGATGGACAAGGATATGTGTACGTAGGCGGGTTGAAGATCATAAAAGGGATGAGGCCGCGGCGTCGGAGGCAGTAGCGCATGTGCTCTAAAGGGTGGCGTTAAACGGGAAAGACTTTGGCATCGAGTCAGTGAGCGGCGCACCGGGATCGCAAGTAGAACCCCCGCGTTATGTCCGGGTGTGAGCAAGGGGTGATTGTGTGGCGATGCTAGAGTTCAGTCCAGACCTATGTCTGTCAGGAGCCTCCATCGCCGGGTGTCAGGACCCGGTGGATATGTGCAACACTTCCACAACCAGTAAGTAATTTAAAGTAGAATCAACGACGACGGCCAGTATCGCGACATGTTACCAAGTAACATCAACAACAACAACAAATGGTTACAACAGAACACACGCACTCATAAACTTCAAAAATAACGCAATGATATGATACAAGATATGTTATCAATTCAATTATCATTCAGGAATTATTTTTTTTTTAAAGAACTTTTTCAACACGAAATTTCGGGTTTTCATTCACGTTACGTAACACCGGGCCGGCCGATAGCCGCCGCCACCCCTCACACCCTCTACACCGCTTCTTCGCAGCGCCACCGCCACACGTCGCCCAGCTGCCCATATCTACCGCCTCCACCATTTTGGGGTATTTCCGTTCCGTTGGAAAATCGGGCCATGGGCCACGGCCCTTTTGGCGCGCATCAATTAACGTGCTAGAGACATCCTCACCAAATATCGAGTGTCATAAATTACAAAGCAAACATACCCAGAGCTCTGCTGATTATCAATCAGCTGCAACACTGACAACGACACATACATACTGATACAGATCAAACCTATTTCCATCCCACACCAATCCAATTACCGAGCAACCTTCAAAAGGGTAGACGAAAGTGGTACTTTCATAGTATTACATCTCATTACCCGTATGGAAATTTTAACTAAAAAACAAAACAAATTCTAAATTCAATCAATCCAATTCAGAAGTTTCGGATCTATCAAAAGTCAGTATAGAAAAATTAACAACATGCACACACGTATATAATAATAAGGAGAAAAAAAAATCAAAAAATAAATTGCGTTGAAGGCGCTTATGTAACTGGAAATCTCTAGTCCGGAACAGCCAACGTTTGACAGCTGTCATGTGCCAATGGTTTGGCCGTACACGCTTACTTTTTTACCAATAACACACACGGTTCCAGCGGATTACGAATCGACTCGAAACATAAATTGGAACTTCAGATTTCATGTCACTTAAATACACGTGTAACATATAATATTCTACATTTTTGCTTATATTCGATATTTGATTTTTATTAAAATATGGAAAATGTTATTTTTATAAAAAAAATATCTAAATTAATAACCATTAATAATTTAAAAAAAAAATGTTACACATAATTAAGATCTTTTTTAATCAATTTGCTTCTAAGGTTTACTGAAATTTAAATGAGGTATTCTGAAAATACGTTTATCTTTTGAATATCTTCATAAATAAATAAATTGAACTAATAAAATCTAAACATTTTATTAAAAATTTAATTAATTAATATTGCAATCAGAACAATGCAATTAATTAAAAAATGTATGATTGAAATTATTTCATTAGTTATATTGGAACGTTTTTATTTCTTTTTTTTTATACAATATAGGTTTTGTTCTATTTCTTGAAAATATAAAGCACATTTTATGAAACATTGTATATAAGAAGTGTAATTTATTTGAGCATAATAAGTATGATCCAATTTGCAAATTGTATCCCAAAATTCATCTAGTTTTACCACTTTGATCTTGAACCTGGTTAATTTGATTAATTCAAACTAACGATATTTGTTGTTTTAAAAATCTGAAAGAGCATTTATTTCTAATATTTTCAATGATGCATCAGGACATTTTGACCGGTTACTGTAAGAATGTGTTTACATAAAATGTTGTTAAGTTTAGTATTAATATACACGTCATCTTAAAAAAAAGGTGATATTAAGAGTCTTTCCGCCCATTTCAAAATAATTCTCCTCATTTATTATTATTACATTAGGCAAGTCCAACACATTTATAGAGGTTTGAGACAATTAAAATGAGAGAAGTGTTCCTAACGAGGCTACTTAAACGAGTGTATAGTCATTAGGCATTCATTTGCTTAGAATTATTGTCCTTGCTGAACGAACAAGCTTGAATACATATCTACTATGATGATGTTGATATAACATTGCACCGCCCTTTTGCACCTAATGAATAACTGAGCGCGGCTTAATTAATGGCAGCAATTAAAATTAAAAATGCGGTGCGCAGTTTGAGCCTACACTTCTTGTGAAGAAGAAATAGCCTACGAACAAAAAAAAAAGAAGTACCGCACATACAAAGGCACTTGACGAACGGAAATATCAACTGCGGAAACAACACACAAAAAAAAAGTACGAGAAAAGTCAACTTTTGTCCATGAAAAGATACTCGTGTCGAGTTGAAAGGAAGTGCCAATTCACATGCGAACAACGTTTTAACGCGCATTCATTGATATCCCAATCTACAATTTGTATAGGGTAACTTTCAATGGATTTTTTCTTTGAAAATTTAAAATAAAGATAAAAAATTATATGGAGAGAAATTTGTAAAAAAAAAATAAATTAAGTAAACTAAAATTGCTCTTGCTATTTCTATAGAGAGTAAATGAAAACAAGAAAAAATTATTTACACCTGATTATACCTTTGAACCTAATTGAATGAAATGTTGACTTAATTATGAAAATAATTAGAGTAAATAAATCGATGCAAATTGTTATATTAAGAAAAATATATTTTATGAACTTTTTAATTTCCAATTTAACTAAAAAATTAAATTGTATTATATTTTAAAGAAACAATTATTTGCGCTTAATATTAATAATGATACAAATGAAATATCTTTATCAAAAAGAGAAGGCTTTGAATGACATTTACATGAAAAATTATAAATAATCCGATAAAAATAACACATATTATCGTCGAATCTAACAAATGTGCAATACAAATGCATTCAAGGTAATTTTTAGTACGTACTAGAAATGCAACTGTAATACGTTTCTAAAGTAGATGTGAGAAGGTGTCCGTATCAATAAATTCACACTTAATAAAATAAAACAATGGAGATACATAAAAGTTGGTGATGCATTGTCTTCTTCTCATTCAACCTGCGGCCACTTAAATGTCTCTCCGAACAGAGTTACAAAAAAAAAGCTTGGAGTTTAAAAGAAAAAGAAGCTTTTCCTATATCTCTTTTCAATCCCGGAGGAACAAACGCGCATCGAACGAGCGGAGCAAGCGAACAAAGGCCTCCGAAACAAGGCACGAATGAATGCGATAGCTGGAAAGTTTGTTGAAGAGCAAGCGAGAAAGAGTGTATTTATGAGAGAGAAAGAGAGAGAGAGGGAACAGTAAATCTTATTGGGAGGACGAAAGAAGAAGAAGACCTCGTAATGCATGTAATAACTGCATGAACCGCAGGCAAAATCCAGCCCAAAAAAAAATCCCTTTCCCTCGCTTTTGTTCATCCAAGTCCTACAAATTACCATTCAGTACTCAGCGCAATAAAATCCAATAAAAGGGAAATCACGGCTCCAATACAAACAAAAAAAAAATGGCACGACGAGGGTGATAATGATATGAAATATGCTCGCAGCTGTCCTATTCTGCAGTATTTTATTTGCATTTTTTTCCCCGCATTGAAATATTCGTGAGAAACAACAGCGACAGCTTTTTCAGATTCAATTATAACAGCCACTTGCTTGTTAATATTTCACGTATTCCAGCTGAGAACATCAAATGCACAATAGAGAAATAATTAATTTCAGGAAATATGTTTATAAACTATATGGAAATAATATAATTGCATTTTCACGAAATTTATAAGTTTCTGTTTGTAAATCTATGAGATGCTATATTGTCTATATTATATAGTACATTTGAATTCTTAATATTTTTTGGATGACAAATAGAAACAAATTTAAAACGATTTTTTATGTATAATATTTTTTTTTGTGTACTTTCAATCGTAATTGAAGGATCCCCTTCAGACGATTGAATCGAGGTTACCGACAATTGGGGGTGAATTTACTGCCGGGCGAAATGTAACATTTCCGGCCGCACCGGATGGTCGCCACGCGATAACAGTCTGTAGATTGTACAACGTTTCATGCCATACAAAACCTGTGTTTCGACCGGGGATTGAAATTTTGCTATAATTAGAAAAGGGAATTGCCTCATATTTTCACAATCGATCAACAAAAGTTTGCATGGACAGTGGACGTGATTATCGGAGGCAACTTTAAATTAGTTGAGATTTTTATAGAACAGTAAATCAGTAGAACTAGAATGATCTTATAGACATGTAAGTTACCAGAGAAATATACTCGTGGTATCAAAACCTTGTTCACATTGAGAATGAGCTCCAACCAAAGGAAACAATATGGGAATACAACTTAATAGAAATTAATATAAATAAATTCGTTGATGAGCCAGAAATTCCTAAATTTCTAGACCCAACAAATTTTTAGACAACTTCGTCAGGAGAATCAACATCGGTTGGTGTGAGTTATCAAGATTCATCCCTTGACTTACCAACCAAATTAAATGGTAATTCTTCTTTTCTGAACATTTTATTCAGTCAAACAGTTAAAAGGGTTAAAATTGTTTGCAATCATTATATGGTAACAAGAGGATCAATATATGAATTAGATTGGAAAGTAGCCTGTTTTTAGTATGACATTGAATACCTGCTTTTGATTTAAGGTAATATAAATCTTTGGAATTTCTAGAAATACATTTTCTGAATATTGAAAAAGATTTAAAAAAATACAATTATTTTTCATTGTAGACTAATCAATATCCAATATTGGCTTCCTCACGTTATATTTTTCCTTTGAAAGAAAAAAACAACTGTCGATATCATCGACTAGATTCAAACTGGATTTATTCCGTATAAATCAATCAGGCTGTATGCAGAAAATGAATAGTAAATGAAGCGCATGTTGGCCCTGAATTCAGTTCGTCCCTAATTGTGAATATTCTGTTGCGAAGCACATATAAAGCACGTACATTCACACATAAGCTTGTACAAACAGAAATTGATTTGCAATATACAGAAAAAGGAGGTTCCACGTAATTCAATTGATTTATTTGAAACTCGTCCCTACAATTTCTAATCGAATTCATATGCTAATGAAATTTTTGAATATTCAAAATGAGATTTAGAAAATACAAAGATGGAATCGAATTTAGTACTATTTAAGTAAGTAAATGCATAGGGTCTATATTTACTATTTAA